TATATTTATATTTATATTTATATTTATATTTATATTTATATTTATATTTATATTTATATTTATATTAATAAAAGAAAAGGAGACAAAAGAAAGAAAAATTAAAAAAAGAAATAAACAACAAAGGAGTGTCTCCTTTTTGCCTATACTGTCTCTCTTCTCTATCTCACGGAGACACGGCTGTTGCTGCTGCTGCTGCTGCTGCTGCTGCTCAGTATCCCTAGAAGCAGCAGCAACAACAGCAGCAGCAGCAGCGGAAGCGCAAATGTGCCTGCCTCCCCAGCACGTCTTGCTGTCTAGGGTTTAGGGTTTAGGGTTTATGGTAAAGGCAAGAGGGAGGAGGAGACAGGAGACAGGAAGAAGAGAGACACTATATTATAATAAAAAGGAGACAGCTAATTGTATTAATTATAAACAAAAAGGGATAACATATGAACCCTAAACCCTAATCCATTGGCTGCGGTGTATGCATGGTGGAATTAGGGTTTAGGGTTTAGGGTTTATGTGTGTATGCTGCTGCTACTCGTGCTGCTTCTGCGCCTGGTCCTTCAACTTCTGTTGCGGGTGCAGGACCAGCAACAGCAGCAGCAGCTCCTGCTGCTGCTGCTGCATGCATGCATGCATGCATGCATGCATGCATTAAGAAGAAAGGTCGTGGGGTAATTTAGCCGCAATAGGATAGACAGGAAAAGAAGAGACAGAAGAACTAAAAGAACGAGGGACACCTAAAGGGGACGCAAACCCTTCGGACCCACTGTCTCCTGCTGCTGCTGCTGCTGCTGCTGCTCTTGCTGCTGTTGCTGTTGGTGCTGCTGTTGCTGTTGGTGCTGCTGTTGCTGATGGGACTCCTGCTGCTGTTTGTCTTGATGCTGCTGCTGCTGCTGCTGCTGCTGCTGCTGCTGGGCTCCTGCGGTGGGGGGGAGGTAGACGGGTTAGAGGGAAGGAGACAGTAGTATCTGTTCTAAAAGGAGACACTCTTGCTGCTCCTGCTGCTGCTGTTGCTGCTGCTGCTGCTGCAGCAGCAGCAGGAGAAGGGGAAGCAAAAAGATCTAGGGAATTTGTTGAGTCAAGACTTGGTGTCTTAGAGAATAAAAAAGAAGATGCCTCTCCTTCTCCCTCTCCCTGCTGCTGCTGCTGTTGTTGCTGCTGCTGCTGTAGTTGCTGCTGTTGCATCCTTAAGGAGACAGTTGGTGCGCTGCGGGAGAGGACAGGCTGTCTCCTGCTGCTGCTGCTGCTGCTGCAGCAGAGGAGAGACTCAGCATCAGCAACAGCACTATAAGGACTACTATAGACAGCAGGCAAGGAAGGGGACACTAACCATTCTCCTTGTTGCTGCTGTTGTTGCAATTGTTGCTGTTGCTGCAATTGTTGCTGTTGCTGTTGCTGCAGTTGTTGTTGCTGTTGCTGCTGCTGCTGTTGCTGCTGTCCATCTCTAGAAACAGCAGAAGCAGCAGCTGAAGAAACAGCAGCAGCAGCAGCAGAATGTGTATCTACAACCCCATCTTGTTGCCGTTGTCTCCCCCTCCTCCTCCTCTGATGCTGCTGATGCTGTTGCTGCTGTTGCTGCTGCTGCTGCTGCTGCTGCTGCTGCAGTGTATTAACAATATGTAATGACCTAACTCCTCCTATATGTGTATGAGGCATAAGAGGATGAGGAAAAAGCGAAGAAAAAGAGGAAGAAGAGGAAGAAGAAGAGGAAGAAGAAGAGGAGGAGGAGGAGGAGGAAGAAGAAGAAGAATGATTATAATGAATATAATTATAATTATAATTATAATTATAATTAATATAATAATAATGATTATGTTTATATAGATGGAAGGCAGCTGTATGGCATAATAATAAGAAAACATTCTGTGTTGTTATTATACTCCATGGCAGCAGCAGCACATCTACTGCAGCAAATGCTGCTGCTGCATCTAAGGGAGCAGACAGCAGCAACCAACGGAATACCTGTACACATATATATACATATACACACATATATTATTTATTTATTTATTTATTTATTTATTTATTTAGTTAATTAGTTATTTGCTAAGGGAAGGGAGAAAGGGAGAGAGAGAGGGAGAAGGAAAAAGGAAAGAAGAGACAGTATATAAGTATACAGAGACACAGGAAAAGGAGACAAAAAGGAGACACAAAAAGGAGACACAAAAGGAGACAAAAGGGGGACAAAAAAGGGGACAAAAAGAGAGACAAAAGTAAGGAGACAATAAAGGAAGGAGTAAGGGACAATAAGAAGGATAAAAAGGAGAAAAAAAGGGGACAAAAAGGGAGAGAAAAAAGGAAACAAAAAAAAGGAGACAATAAAGGAGACAATAAGAAGGATAAAAAGGAGACAAAAAGGGGACAAAACAGGAGAGAAAAAAGGAGACAAAAAAGGGGACAAAAAAAAGGCGACAATAAAGGAGACAATATGAAGGATAAAAAGGAGAAAAAAAGGGGACAAAAAAGGAGACAAAAAAAAGGAGACAAAAAAAGGAGACAAAAAAAAGGAGACAGAGGCTGACCGTATTCCATAGTTGCCTGAGCCTGGAGATAGGCCTGCCTACAATATCAACAGAGAGGAGCATCTGCATCCATTGCTGCTGCAGCTGCTGCTGATAGTGCTGCAGCAGCAGCAGCAATATATCCTTAATAAGGAGTAATCTATTATTAATAATAAAGGAAGAAAAGGAGAAAGATGCACAATCAAGAGATAATACCTTATATAAACGGGACACAGATACTCTTGCTGCTGCTTCCTTTACCTGCAGCAATTCTATATATACTGCTGCTGCTCTACTCTGCTGCTGCTGCTGCTGCTGCTGCTCGTGATGCTGCTGCTGCTGATGATGATGCAGTACAGGAAGAGATAAGGATAATTGTCTGCATAATAATGTTCTTGCTGTTTCTGCTGCTGCTGCTTCTGTTGCTGCACCAGGTGCTGTTGCTGTTGCTGCTGTTGTTGCTGCTGCAGGTACAGGGGATGAACCTGCTGCTGCTGTTGCTCTTGTTGCTGTTCTTGCTGCTGCTGCTTCCATTGCTGCTGCTGCAGTTAATTGATCAGCAAAAGAAGCAAGAGCAGGAGGAAGCAAAAGAGACAAAACAGAGAAATCAACATCTGCAACAAAAGGAGACAATGCTATTGCTGCATGACGAGCACGAAGAATATTTAATGGTGTCTCTAATGCTCCTATACCCCTCTTGCTGCGTCTCCTGCTGCTGCTGCTGCTGCTGCTGCTGTTGCTGTTGCTGTTGCTGGTGGTGTTGTTGCTGGCGGTGGTGTTGGTAGCGCACTTGCCACACATGTACATGTTGATGCTGTTACTGTTGTTGTTGCTGCTGCTCTTGTTCCTGCGGCTGCTGCTGCTGCTGCTGCTGTGGGGAGGAGCAATATCAAGAAGAAAGTAGAGGGCAGGTGTACAGACAGCAGAGGAGTCTCCTGACAGCAGCGCGGGTCTTCCGTCTGCGTACTGCAGCACGAAGGGTTCTGCTGCTGCTGCTGCAGCAGCAGCAGCATGGCCCCCTCTTCTCCTTCCTGCTCCAGCAGCAGCAGCTGCTGCAGCAGCAGCTGCAGCAGCAGCAGCAGCAGCAGAAGACTTAAACAAATGATGCGTCTTCCCCTCCTCCCCATCATAAGCAAAACAATCAAATTTATTTAGACTAAAAATAAATCGCCAAGAGGGCGAAGGCAGCAGCCGCAGGGGCCCCTCTAGTGTAGCGGGGCCCCCAAATACAGCAGAAGCAGCAGCAGCAGCTGCTGCTGCTGCTGAAGCAGATGAACCCCCACGGCTGCTACTGCTGCCTCCTCCTCCTCCTAATCCAGGAAAGAACCAAAAACTACTAGAGGCAGCAGCAGGAGGGGCTTGAGGGGTTTGCTGCTGCAGCAAGAGACGAACCTCTGCAGCACAGCAACAGACACAGCAGATATCTCCTATCATAATACACACTGCTTCTGCTTCTGCTGTTCGTGCTGCTGCTGCTATAGGCGTGCTGCTACTGCTGCTAGGCGTGCTGCTACTACTCTTATTGTTGCTGCTGATGTGTCTGTTTACCTCTGCTGTCTTCAACAAAAGAAGTGCTGAAGGCAATACCACACAAAAACAAACGCAAAGGCTGCTGCTGCTGCTGCTGCTGCTGCAGCTGCAGGTCCTCGACCTGGGCGCTGCTTCGCCTACGGTTTCCCCTTTGGGAGTCGCTGCGTGTTGCTGCGGCTGCTGCTGCTGCTGCTGTTGCTGCTGCGGCTGCTGCTGCAGTTCTGTTAATCGGTGCCAGAGTCACTGAGACAACAAGGCGGTGTATATACACAGACAATGAAAGACGAGACAACCCTCTTCTGCTGCTGCTGCTGCTGCTGCTGCTGCTGGTCATTGCTGCAGCCCTTCTCTGTAGAACGTGCAGCACATGTGGCGCCCTGTAGAGATGTCCCCAACTATTTGCTGTTGCTGCCAACCCATGTGCTACTGTTGCTGCTGCTGCATGCACTGATTGAGTTGCAAGAGCAGCAGCAGCAGCAGCACTATCCGGAGGAACGTGCGTGTGCGGTGCTGCAGTTGCTGTTGCGCTGCGGCCTTCTGCTGCTGCGCTGCTGCAGCTTGCTGCTGTTGAAGACATCGGCTGCAGCTGCAGCAACTCCCCCGTAAAATGCATGCACACTGTGGGCCCCCTAAATCTAATAGAGAGGCGGCAGCAATAGCGAAGGAGACAGGTGTCTCCGCTGTGCTGCAGCAGAGATTCTGCTGCGGCTGCACCTATCGTTTGAGGCAGAGACCACCCAGTTCGCCAGCTGTACCCAGAACGCTGCCGTCCTGCTGTTGCTGCTGCTGCTGGTGTTGCTGCTGTTGCTGCAGCAGCAGCAGGCGGTGGGGTGGAAGCTGTGTCTTCATCCCCTTCGGTTGCAGCCACAGCATTGGGGGCTTGCTCTGCAGTCCCTCCTGTTGCTACTACTTCTGCCGCTGCTTCTGCTGCTGTGTCTGCTGCTGTGTCTGCTGCTGCTTCAGTACCCAGAACAGGCGTTGCAGGTGCAGCAGCATCAGCAGCAGTAGGGTCATCAGCAACTGGCTGATGGGTGTTATATTCGCTGCCGACGGTGCTTTGCTGCTGCTGCTGTTGCTGTTGCTGTTGCTGCTGTTGCTGCTGATCATTTGCAGCAGTACGTACAGCAACAAGGAAAGAGAAGGTAATGTCTCCTTCCTCTACCAATGATACATCAAGCAAGTGCAGCGGCTGCCCCTCCGCTTCCTGCAGCAGCAGCTGCTGCTGCCGCTTTCCCCGCCGTCGCCGCTGCTGCTTCCCGTGCTGCGGTTGCTGCTGCTGCTGCTGCATCCACCTGCACGCAGCAACCTTAAATGAGCGCTCTCCCCAAGGATCGTCTAAGGCTAAAGGCGCATGCGTCCTTGGAGACACAAGAGAGCAGCACTGCTGCCCTTGCTGCTGCAGGAAGAGAGATAGCAGCAGCTCATTTACCACAAAGACACGAGGAGCAGCAGACACTACAGCAGGGATGCTGCGGCACCAAACACTTTCTTCACGCCAGCAGCAGCAATTACTGCAACACGGCAGGTTCCTGCTGCTACTCCTATGCGTGCTGCTGCTGCTGCTTATGCTGCTGCTGCTGCTGTTGCTGCGGGTAGCGAAAGGGGCAGAAAGGACAATAAAACGAACCCCATCCTCTTCCGTTGCACGAACCTGGATAATGTCTACACGAGGCATAACCCCTGCTGAAACTTGGCTGCTGCTGCTGCTGTTGCTGCTGCTGCTGCTGTGAGGGAGGCAGCAGTGCAACGCCAGCTGCTCGTCGATGCACTTGAGGACATTAATGGGGACCGACCATTCACACTGTAGACCCCCAACGCAAAGACCGCAGCAGCAGCAGCAACACGCGCTGCTGTTGCTGTTGCTGCTGCTGCATGTGCATGCGCATGCAGTAGCAGGGAGGAAGGGACTTAAGAGGTGACTGAACCGCACGGCCTGCTGCATTTGCCGCCTTAGCTGCGGAGCGAGTGTCTCCTTCTGTCCCTTAAGTCTGCTGCTGCTGCTGCTGGTGGTGTTGCTGCTGCTGGTATGGGGCCCTACACGACGGAGCTGCAGCTGCACAGAATTAAAGGAGGGAGTTGGCTCAAGTGTCTCGCGAGGGGCAAGGAAGACAGCTGTGGTGTCTGTACACCCGAAGGCCTTTAACTGCAACGGGAAAGGACAATTGTTTAATGTTATCTGCAAGAAAGGAGACACACAAGGAAAAAAGAAATAAAAGATATAAATATTAAAAGGAAGAGGAGACAAGGAAAGACAAAGAAAGATACAGATGGAGACAGATAGAGACAGATAGAGATATAGACAGGCAGAGAGACAGAGCAAGACGGGGGAGATAGTATAAGGGAGACAGTCGACAGTCGGAAAGGAGACCCTACGAAGGGAGACAGTATAAAAGGAGACAGTATAAAAGGAGACAGTATAAAAGGAGACAGTATAAAAGGAGACAGTACAAAAGGAGACAGTATAAAAGGAGACAGTATAAAAGGAGACAGTATAAAAGGAGACAGTATAAAAGGAGACAGTTGATTTGTTTACCATTTTGGGTTTGAAGACGATCAGCGTTGATCCACCAAAGAGACAATTTAATCTTTTAAATTGAATAAGAAGTTGGAGACCTTGACTAAGTTGTACAGACACAGGAGGGGCAAGAGTTTCTTCTTTTCCTGCTGCTGCTGCTGCTGCTGCTGCTGCTGCAGATGTTCCTGAACAGTCAGCAGCGGCAGCCGCAGCGGCGAGTGCAGCGGCAAAAGGAGCCGCCGCAGCAGCTGCAGCAACACTGGAAGTCCCAGACGCAGTAGTAGACCAATCAGGAGACGCAGCTGCTGCTGCTGCTGCAGCAGCAGCTGCTGCTGCTGCAGCAGGCTGCAGCGTTACTTCGGGAGTAAAGCGACGACTGCCATGCAGTCTTAGAGCAAATGAGATATGAGAGAGACAACACAATACAGGAGACCCTTGCCAAGGTTTCCCTTTCCTCAGCTGTCTCCTCCCGCTCCCGCTGCTGCTGCTGCTGTTGCTGCTGCTGCTGCAAGGAGGGAGGTCTATTGGCTGCAAGGATATAGGATCTGTTGCTGACGGGGCAAGGGTAGGCCTATACTGCAGCGGCAGCTGCGTTAAGTTAAGCAGCCAAAAAGGACAGCAGCAGCAAATGCTTAAGGAAGTACCATCAAAGAAGGCCTCCACAAGCACCTCCAGCTGCTGCTGCTCCTGCTGCTGCTGCTCCTCGTCCTCGTCCTGCTGCTCCTTCTGCATCGGGCAGTTGACGACAAAAGACATCGACCACGGGGACTGCCACGCCTCCACGCCAGCAGCAGCAGCATCTCCTGTCCCCTCCCAACCCACAGCGTCCATGCTGCTGCTGTTGCTGCTGCTGCCGTGTCCTTGACGGCCCGTCCGAGGGACTAGACCGTTGGACGCCTCACCTCCAGCAGCAGCAGCCTGCTGCTGCTGCTGATGGTGATGTCCTTCGTCTTCGGTGTTGCTGCTGCTGTTGCCAAGGCGTAGTAGGCGCTGTCCCTCTTCAGCAGCAGCAGCAGCAGCATGTAGTTTATGCATGCTACCACTGCGTGCTGCATCAGCAGCAGCGAGTAGGTGTTTTTCTGCTGCTGCAGCAACAGCAGCAACACCACCACCCCCACCCCCACCCCCACGACCATCATCAGGAGGAGGAGGAGGAGGAGTATAAGTTTGCTGTTGCTGTTTAAGATCATTCGCAGCAGCAGCTGCATGCGTGTGCTGCGCCTGTGTAGGAGGCTTAAAGGAGACAGGTAATGACCATGTCTTTGTCTTCCCTATACGAATAGAAAGAGACAATGAATGTCTATAATCAAAGAGACACAATCCTTTACTTGTCCCAGGAGACAGCAGCAACTCACTAACACGTAAAGGAGGCTCCTGCAACAGTTGTACCTCCACTGTGCTGCAGCAGCAAACACATACACATATATATAGGCACCTAGCTAGCTAGCTAGCTAGCTAATAGACAATCAAGACAGACTAACAACCGATGAAAGGAGAGAGTGGGAGGGAATCAGAAGAGAGAGAGAAGGAGACAGAAGACGAAGGCAATAAAGGGGAGACAGGTGAAGGTAAAAGGAGACGTATGGTAAAAAAGGATAGGGGGGTAAGGGAAAAGGAGACAGAAGGGTAAGGGAAAAGGAGACAGGAGGGTAAGGGAAAAGAAGAAAGTGTTGTTCTTACAAGGGTAATGCGTTATAGATAGTACATGGTTGTATAAGAGTAAGTTGTATACCAATAGAATCCTTAGGTGTCTCCGTTTTTAATGTACAAATAAAAGTACGTAAAGAGGAGACAGCAGCAGATAATATAAATGTTTTATTATATGGTATATTAAAAGGAGACGATCCTGTCCATACTGCACCTGTCTCCTTTTGTAGTTTTACTGCTATTGATGCACAAGAAGAACTTACGCATAAAGGTACAGCTAAATAAGAACCACTAGATAAACCACAACGCCAATCCTATACACAACACACAAATAAATATATAAATAAATAAATATATTAATTAATTAATTAACTAATCCATTAATTAGTTGATTAGTTAATTAATAGTGGAGAGAAACAAAGGCAAAAAAGCAGGGACAGCAGTCTTCCCCAGCCAGACAGGACACCGTGCTGTATAATACCACCACAACTGCTGCTACTGCTGCTGCCGCTGCTGTTGCTGTTGCTGCTGCTGCTGCTGTGCTTGTGATATGATTGCTTACCGCAGCAGGATCTTTTTCTGCCAAGAAGGTGAGCTCTACGGGTACTTGTAGGCGACTCTTAACATTAAGGGGACAGCAGACCTCTATTAAACTGTCACCTTTTGCTCTTCTCCCTACTACTACAAGACACCCATTCGAGCTGCTGCCTGTGGCGCCCTTTTTAGTAACAGAAGGAGGGTACCCTCCTCTGTAACCTCGTGCTAATTCATCCTCCTCGTGGTCTTCCTCGTGGTGCTGCTGCTGTTGCTGCTGCTGTTGCTGCAGCAGCAGCAGGGAGCCTCGGTCGCTAAACAGAGGGGAGGAATGGCTTAGAGGCAATACAAAATTCCCTGCAGGTTGCGATGCATCTAGGACTGCGAGGTGTATAGACAGGTGCTGCTGCTGCAGCAGCAAAGCCTCACAAGAAGGAGGCAAGACACCCGTCTGCCAACTGCTGCTGCCTCCTCCTCTGCTGTTAACCGCACGAAAGGCCAATGTATGGCAGCTGCTGTTCCTCAGCCATAGACAACCCTACAACGCATGCAAACGCAAAACGCCTGCTGCTGCTGCTGCTGCCGTTGTGACCAGTAGTACGTGTGTGCACACAAAGACAATCAGCAGAGCACCAGCAACAGCAGCCGCAAAAGCAGCAGAAGCAGCAGCAACAGGACGTACTTGTCTAACAGAAGCAAGACAATACCCTGGTAGTTGTCTTATGTCGTAGAGGACACCGGCAGTAGAGGGAGAGAGACGCGCGTTTTGTGGTTCTTCTTCTGTCCTCCATTTAGACACAGAAGAGACAGATGCCCCGCTAGCACCACATCTGCCTGCTGCTGCTGCTGCTGCTGCTCCTGCTGCTGCGGCTGCGGTGGCAGAGGAAGCCATGTCCGCAGTAAATAGCTCATCTCCTTCGCTTGCACAACTGTCAATGTGCTGCTCCTCGAAGCCTCCTGCATGCAGATACCGCCTAAACCATTGTTGTTGCTGCTGCTGCTGTTGCTGCTGCTGTCGGAGAGCTTCTGCCGCCTCTGCTGCTGCAGCAGCAGCAGCAGCTGCTGCTGCAGGAGCGAACGTGCCCCTGTAGGCGGCAGCCCAGCTAGAGAGATGAGGGGACAGAGAGAAGGCGCGGTGCTGCGTGGGGTGTATAGGCAGCTGCGGGGTGTATGGTGACATCGCAAAGAGGACTCTTAGAGCTTCTGCTGATAAGAAGGGGCGCACATACAATACGTCGCAGCCTCTGCTGCTGCTGCTGTTTGCAGCTGCTGCTGCCTTCAAGGCAGCAGCAAACTGGGTGGAGAGACAGCTGAGGGCACCTATATGACGGGGATCCGCCAGTAACTCAACTGAGCCGTCAATGCGTATATTAAGGGAAGGGGAAGGCATGCGGCATGGATATGCTGCAGCAGCAACAGACACTGGCGACAGTAGAGGCAGCAAGCCCCCTTGCTGCTGCTGCTGCTGGTGCTGCTGCTGGTTCGAGTGGTGGTACAACCAACGCCCCGATATCTGCTGCTGCTGCTGCTGCTGCTGCAACACGCAGCTACCCAAAATGGCATCCTCGGCAATCCCCGATACCTGGATGGACACCTGAGACGCAACAACAGCAGCAGCAACAGCAGAAGCAGCAAACAAGAATCACAGAAGAAGACAGCAAGAGGGAGGCATTATCTCCACACACAACTGAACGGCAACACCGCCTCTAGTAGCACTACCAAGAGCTCAGCAGCATAGCTAGCATGCACCCAGCAGCAGCAACAACAACAGCAACAACCGCAGCAGCAGCAGCATCAGGTGGTGCTGGCGTGTTTAGTGTCTTTACCTGTTTGGCTTGCATTGATAGTACTGTGTCTGCCGTGTCTGCTGATGACCTTAGTGCTTGTGCTGCTACATCGCTGCAGCAGAGCTGCATGAAGAGCAGCATTTGCTGCTCTGCTGCTGCTGTTAGCTGCAGTGCGTCTGCCTCAATAGAAACCTTCCATGCAACACAACTCTTAGGTATATAATTAAGAGACATTTTATTGTCTCTTATGTTAGGGGGAGGGGCATAACTCCAATGGGATGCTGACTGTGGGGCCTCAGAACCAGAACAAGCAGCTGCAGCAGCAGCAGCTGCTGCCGCAGCTGCAGCAGCAGAATCTGCTGATGCTGCTGATGCCGATGATGTCGCTGATGCTGCTGATGATGGTTTCTTTGCTGCTGCTGCAGTACTACTACCTACACTTACATCGTCACCAGCACCGCCACCTTCTCCTGCTGCTTCGGCTGTCTCTGCTGCTGCTGCTGCTGCTGTGCGACGTCGGCGAAAGGAGTCGCTGTTGCGGGCCCGTCGCGAAAGCCCTGGTCTCTTGCAGCTGCACCGGACAGGACCAGCAGCAGAGGCTGCTGCAGTTGCTGCAGCTCTTGCTGCTGCTGCTGATGCTGCTGAATAGCTGCGGGCCACTGCCAGCAGCGCGGAGGAGTCGCTGGCTGTCAGCAGCAGAAGCAACGGAGAAATAAATGCCTCTATGCGACACTCGCAGTGTCGCTGCAGCAGCAGCTGCTGCTGCAGCAACTGCTGCTGCAGCAGCTGCTGCTGCTGCTCTGGCAACCCCTTGCGGCGCGATGTCAACACTACAGAGAAGGTAAATGGAGACTCTACCAGCGGGTGTACAGACAGGTCAGCCAGCAGCAGCAGCACACATGTGCTAATTTGCTGCTGCTGTTCCTGTTGCTGCTGTTGCTGCTGTTGCTGCTCCGCGAAGAACGACCAAGGCGTTTTCGCTGCTGCTGTTGCTGCTGCTGTTGCTGCTGCTACTGGTGCAGTGTACGTAGACTGCAAGGGGTTGCCCGACCCCCACACGTTGGGCAGCACCGCCGTTGCTACGGAAGGCGGCATGTCATGCGGCGCCCGCTGCTGTTGCTCGTGTAGCTGCTGCTGCTGCTGTTCGTCCTGCTGCTGCTGCTGCTGCTGCTGCTGCGAGTTGGGTATATGCCTCATAAGACAATAGCGCTGCGTAGGAAAATAGCGAGAGAGCCTCGACTGCCGCAAAGAGGTGGAGGTGGGCAAGCAGACAACAAAAACAGTCCCTGTCTCTGTTGGTGTTGTTGCTGTTGTTGCTGTTCCTGCTGCTGCTGCTGCTGCAGACGACATAAGAACGACGGGAGAAGGAGGAAGAGACAGAGATCCTCCAAGGAAGACGCAGCGCTGCATCTCCGCCTCCATACGAAGAGCAGGCAGCCACCGCTCAGCTTGCCTCTCCAGCCACAGAGCTGTCCTCATGCTGCTGCTGCTGCTGCTGCTGCTGCTCCCGCGGCTGCTGCCAAAACGGCTGCTCCTACTGCTAGTACGGCTGCTGCTTCTGCTGCTCGAGGTAGTGTAGCTTGTGCCTGTGCCCACACTTTTGCTGGAACTGCTGCTGTAGCTGCTGTCGTCGCTGCTGCCTGCTGCGTCGCTATCGCTTTCGATGCTGCTGCTGCTTCTGCTGCTGCAGCTGCTGCTTCTGCTGGTACTGCACGGTGTTGCTGCTGGAATCCTCCCGCGTGTCTCTCTGTGTGTGTCTCTCCGTGGCCGAGGAGAGCCGCTGTCTGTCTCTGCGATGTCTGCTGCATCTGTTTCTGTTTCTGCTGCTGCTGTAGCAGCAGCAGGAAAGAAGAGGTCTTCAGTAATTATTTTTGCATCGAGCTCACAGGAGAGAGCAGCAGTGCTGCATTGCAGTGTATGGGGACATACCCACAAAGGAGACAGGGGGGCCCTGCGGGGGGACCTGGTAGCAAAGCCGTCATTGTGGAGGATACGATCCCCCCGATCCCCACGATCTCCAATCGTTGCTGACACCACTGCTGCAGCAGACGCTGCACCTGGTCCTCCAGCAGAGGCCAGCGGGTTCCTGTACCCCGCTCCCCACCTGCTGCTGCTGCTACTGCTACTGCTGATGCTGTTGCAGTTGCAGCGGGGGCCCCTAGGATACTTCCCCCCATGACGGAGGCCCTCCTCTGGTAGAGGGCCAACCCACCATAAGGAGAGGACATGCACCTTAAAGTGCGCTGTCACCGCAGTTCGTTGCTGCCCTTCATGAGCAGCAGCGGCAGCCGTTGCTGCTGCAGCTGCCGACCCTCCAATGGGTAGCCACAAGCTATCAGTTTGCTGCTCCTGTTGCGCAGTTGCTGCTGCTGCGTCAATAAGAGAAGCACTTGCCTCCCCTCCATCTAGCAGCTGACCGCTGCGCTGTGGATTTGTCTCTCCACTACAAGAATAACTAATGTCTCCTGAGGAAGAAGCAGGCAGTTCTCCTGCTGCCGCCGCCGCAGCTGCCGCTGCAGCTGTTGCGCAGCATTCGCTGCGCAGCTCATCAAAAGAAGCCGATGGGCTGTACAGGTCGCTATCCGCTTCCATGACCCCTGCAGCTGCCGCTACAGCAGGCTGATTATCAGCAGCAGTTGGCACAGCAGCAGAGGCAGCAGCAACAGCAGCAGCTGCCGCTGCTGCTCCAAGTGTCCCTTCTGTAAAGGACCTCTCAAAGGAACAAAAGGAAGCAGAGGCCCATGAAGACAGAGACTCGTGAGGGAAACGGAAGAGACACCTCCTTACCTCAGCAACAGATTGTTGTATCTCTTTAATTGCTACCCATATATCTAGCAGCAACTTGCGTACTTTTGCTGCTGCTGCTGCAGGTAGCAGCAGCATATGGACCTCCGGGACCACCACGAGACACTGCAATGACTGCTGCTGTGGTTGCAGCTGCACCGGCTGCTGCTGCTGATGCTGCTGCTGGGAAGGCAACCCGCTACCCATTCCTCCTGCTGCTCCAACTGCTGCTGATGAAGGCGCTGCTGCTCCACCGGCTGCGGCTGCTGTTGGCTGCTGCTGGTGCCGCTGCACCACCTCCAGTTGCCATGCCTCTGCAGGACCAAAGTCCTCTTCTTCCTCGCCGCCCTCAAACATAGCTGTTAAATCCCCTTGCTGCTGATGCTGCTGCTGCGAAGCATTGTAGTGCCATACATCTTTAGGTGCAGCAGAAGCAGCAGCAGTGGGAGACTGCACGCTGCTTGCTGCTGCAGATAGTGCATTCTCTAAAGGAATACCTGCTGCTACTGAGCTAGGAGACAAATGTCTCCGCCATACGCAGCCAAACCCTAACGTCCCTTCCGGCAGCAGCAGAGACACCTCAGATGCAGACGGAGGCCCTGCAGACCCACAAACAGCTTGATAGAGCACCAGCCTGCTGCTGCTGCTGCAGTTGGTGTTGGTGTAGTAGGCACCAGCCGCTTGGGTGTGTCTGCATCGCCGGCGTTGGTCTGGTTCCCCGTCATGATGTTGCTGTTGCTGTTGCTGCTGCTGTTGCTGGTTAGCTGCAACAAAGACTCGGGGGCTTTGGACTGAGGCCCTAGCTGAGCGAAGGAGTCCGTCGTCTGTCAGCTGCAGGTTAAAGGAAGCTGCTGCTGCTGCTGCAGCAACCCAGCCTGCCTCTGGCGTGGCGTCCTGCCTACCGCAGCAGGAGCAGGTGCGGGTGTTGCTGCTACTGTTGCTGAGGTCTTCTCCTGGTGCAAGGAGAAGGATAACACGGTGTACATACAGCTGAAGTGCGCAGAGCTGCGCAGACCGCAGCAATCGTCTGAGGCCTGATATGAGTTTACGGGGTCCCCTGGAGGTCAATGAAGGCGCTGCTGCTGCTCTTGCTGCAGCTCCTGCTGCTGCTGATGAAGGGTCTCTAGCAACTGATGCACCCCCCTGAAGAGCACGAGCTGTTTCCGTTAATGCTAAGCAGCAACCACAGCCCCACCGCCCTAACATACGAAGACGAGAGCCATCTAAGCATACACGGAGTCCCCCTTCAAATGCTTTCTCGCCTTCCCCTATCTGCTGGCGCTGCTGTTGCAACAGCAACTGCTGCTGCTGCTGCTGGTGGTTGCTGTTTTGCTGCGGGCTAGGGAGGATTTGGAGGCGAAGAGACCCCTCTGCATCTGCAGGACTAAGGAGACGCAGTGGGAGAGACAGACGAACGAGACCCCCTGATAGAAGAGGGAGAGGAGGGGACGGATTAAGCAGACATCCAGAAGGAGAAGGGAGACACCCAAGATATACAGAAAAAGAATTAAATACACCCGCTGCATGCGCCCCACACATCATACCCCATGGAATAACTCCTCGACCCCCATGCTGCAACTGCTGCTGCTGATGCTGCGGTGAGTAGTCGTGCTGCTGCGCAGCCTCCAGATGCTGCTGCTGCTGCTGCTGCTGCTGCGTGTTGAGGGTTAGGGAGAAAGACGGCAGCTGCACCGTTAGCCACAAAGATCCATCAGGAGATATAGAGACAGCACAATCTGCTGCAGAGACACTTCGCAGAACTAAAGACACCCCAAACCAACGGCAGAGTCTCCCCATAGACACAGGCCGACCCCCAGCAGCAGCAGCAGCAGTCTCTGCTGCAGCCGCAGCATTAGACGTTGCTCCTGGTGTTGGTGTGGGAGATGGTGAAGAAGAAGAACTTGAAACCAACGCATCTGCATGCAGTTGATCCTCGGCACCTGTTCCTGCTGCGGCGCGTGTTGCTGCTCTCGTTGCAGCAGCAGCTGCACCGTCAGGTTCTACAGCACAGCTACAGGGTTTCCTCCCCTCCGCTGCAGCCTCGTAGTTACCTGCAGGCTGCCGCCGCGACGGAAGAGCAGCAGCATCAGGAAGAGCAACAGAAGCCGTGTTGATCTTCTTGTTCCTGCTCCTGCTGTTGCCATGGCCCCTCGTCTCCACAGCTTCTAGACTAAGGCTACTAGCAAGCGCTATGAGACACCGCCGTATTTCAGCAGCTTCCGAAGACACCTTCAAGAGCCACGCACCTGAGAGCAGCAGCAGCAACAGCAGCACCAGTAACAGCAACGGCAGCATAAGAAGCAAGACATTCAGTAACAGCTGCGGTAGCAGCAAACGAAAATCCAACACAGACACAATGGAGGCGGCAGCAACAACACAACAACCCCTCCTAGTGGGTGTCTGTCGCATACGAAGTCTGTCTGGCTCGTTCATACTTGTTGCTGCTGCTGCTGCATGTGCTGCTGCTGCATGTGCTGCTGCTGCTACTCCAGACAGATGCTTACCTGCATGCGCAACCAATGCAGCACAAAGCTGCAGACGCGGGGCCTCGACAGACAAGCCCAGCGCCACTTCGTGATCTGCTGCTGCTGCTACTCCTGGTGCTCCTGCTGCTGCTGCTGCTGCTGTATGGCTGTGTCCACCCCTTGTCCAATTTTGAAAAGGGTTGTCCTGTGGTACCCCGCCCACTTGCTGCTGCTGCTCCGCAGACAGCAGCTGGAGCAGCAGCGAGAAGCGGCCAGGGGGCCTGCAGGGAGGTATCGCTAAAACTTCTGTAGTAACAGCTGCTGTTGGTGCTGTTGTTGCTGTTGCTGCTGCTGATGCTGCTGATGAGTGGCGTCGCCTGCCCCGTCTGTGGTGTCTGCTGCTGCTGCGGCTGGCTCCACGCTGTTGCCGCTGCTTCTCCCGATGCTGCTCCTCCTCTTGCTGCGAAAGCCAACTAGGAGAGGGCTGCGGAACCTTACTGAGGGCTAGGCAATCCTCGACATGGAGAGACTCGACTCCCAACAGCATATGGACTACCTCCGTTGATTCCCTCGCTGCTGCTGCTCTTGCTGTTGCTGTTGCTGCTGTTGCTGCTCTTGCTGCTGCTGACGTGAGTTGCCACGGGGGCGAAGCCCTATTTGCTGAAGATGCAGCAAACTGGAGGGCAACACCTTCAGCGACAGCAGTAGCGATGGGCCGGGCTAGCAGCTGCTGCTCCTGATGCTGCTCCTGGTGCTGCTCCTGCTGCTGCAGTCCCATTGAGGGGAGAGGGGATGGCGCATCTCCTAGCAGCAGGCTAAAGGTTTCAGAAGGAAGGGAAAACAGAGAAAACGAAGGCTGCAGCGCAGGGCCGAAGGCTGTCCACTGCATCGCAGCAGCAGTAGCAGCGGCAAACGCTTTGCTGTTGTAAAGAGATGGCGGTGGCTGCTGCTGCAGCAAGCAGCTCAGGCTGCCCACGAAGACGTCAGTCTCAAATTGCTGCAGCACAAATCTCTGCTGCAGCTCCCCTTTCTGCAAGACTCCCCCACCAGCAGCAGCACTTGCTGCTGCTGCTGCTTGACCTGCTGCTGCTCCCAGCCGAAGACTGGCAACAAGCAGCTGTAGACGTGCCAGCGAGATATCGCCGGCCTGCAAGTACACCGACTGAAGTCTAACAGCGACACGTCTGCGCTCTGTGGCACCACAGATGCTGCTGCTGTTAATGTTATCCCCAGCAGCAGCATGCTGCAGCCCACCTTTTACGGCTCCCTTCTGCTCCTGGGGGTCGCGTAGAGTGTCCACATCGACAGTTACAAGTGCAGCAAGCTGCTGCTGCCGTTTCCGCTTCTGCCGCTCCCTGCGGGAGCAGCAAACGGGCGCTGCATGGCCTAGTGCGGCTGTTGCTGCGCCGGTGTCACCGCCGCCGCAGCAGCAGCCCGTGGTGCTGCTGCTGCAACGACAGAAGCAACTGCTGCTGGTTCTAATGTGCTTCTCATGTTCTTTGTCCCCCCAAAAAGGAGACTCTAAAGATGTTGTGCTGTCCGCCGAGGCCCTCACCTCCAGCAGCGGTCGCCGTGCAGACACAGGAATGGCCTGAACCCACAAGCTGCCGCTGCAGCTGCTGCAGCAGCAACTGCTGTTGCTGGAGCTGCAGCAGCAGCCCTTTTTACAGCATGCAGTCTTCTCAGTTCTGCTGGTGCTGGGACTGCAGCAGCAGATACAGCAATCCCCACGGTGCCATTCGTCGGCTGCCGTTGCTCCCGTGGCAGTGGGGCATCCTGCAGTGGCAGGCGGCACAGCGGCTGCAGCAGCAGCTGCTGCTGCTTTTGCCGCAGATGGCTTCTCCCTTCTCAGCCCGCCATCAGGCTCACTGCAGCACGGGCACTCTGCCTCCCAAGCTGAAAGTGCAGAAAAGGAGACAGTTGCAGCCATCGACAAACTCCTCTCCGAACCCCTCTCCTCCGTGTCCAGTTGTTGTTCTTGTTGTTGTTGTTGCTGCTGCTGCTGCTGTTTGTTTGTGACTATGATGTTGGCGCTGGTGTGTCGTAAGTCAAAGGCGTAGCTGAAGGCAACGGGGGGGCCTCGAGGAGGTCGGCAGGCAGCAGCATGTTCAGCGCGCAGCAGCAAAGGAGACAGAGGGAGAGGAGACAGGGAAGAAGGAGACATGCAATAAGAATAGACAAAAGAAGGAGAACGCGATAAAGAAGATAAAACACCAGAGGCCATAGGGGCCTCCGTTTGCTCCTCCTTGTCCTGCTGCTCCTTCTGCTGCTCCTGCTGCCGTGTCTGCTGTTGTTGCTGCTGTGGAGCATAACACACGACGCAGCAAATCTGTTGCAGCAGCAAGCGCGTCTCCAATTCGCATGCGCCAAATGGCAGCAGCAGAAACTTCGGTTTTTGCTGCTTAGGCCTCAATTGTAAGTCTGCTGCTGCAGCAGAATCCGGCAGCAAATCCGATTCTGTCTCTCTACTTAATCCCCACTCCCTTGGATCAAAGGCGTCAAAGAAGCACTCATTGCTGCTGCTGCTGCTGCAGGTGAAGCTGCTGTTGCTGCTGTTCTTGTTGTTACTGCGGCTGCTGCTGCTGCGGCTGCTGCTACGGCTGCTGCTGCAGGCAGCCGTCTCCTGTCCTGCTGGTGCTGCTTGGGTATGTGCTGCAGCAGATTCATTTCTCTTTGCTGTCTCTTCCATTGAGCAAACAGCTGAGTAACAGACACAAGAGGGGACAGTCCCCCCTTCCCCGTGCGACATCCCGCTGTCTCCCCGACGCTCCTGCTGCTCCTCCTGCTTTTGCTGCTCCTGCTGTTGCTGCTGGAGCATCGCACAGTTACGGGAGGCAGCAACGAAGGCAGAGAGAGACGAGATAACTGCAGGATTGATGGAAACAGCAAAGGGATCGAAGGCAACTAAAAGAGAGACAGATAACCGCTCCTCCTCCAGGCCTGATGGCCCTGTCCTTCTTCTCGTTAGCGATCCTTCTGCTGCTGCTGCTGCTGCGTCTGTACGTGCCCCCTCTGCTGCTGAGAGTTTTCGAACTAGTGAGGCCACAGAGTAACAGGACACAGGCAACAGCACGGGTAGCCAACCTCCAGCTTTGGGAAGATGGCTGCTGCTGCCGCTGTTGTCGCTGTTGGTGTTGCTGTTGCTGTTGCTGCCGCTGTTTCTGCTGCTCCTGCTGCTGCGGCCGTTGCTGTAGATTGGTTGAGTGGACAGCTTTAGACACGTCAAAGAAACGGACAAAGTGGTGTCCCCACACCCTTCCAAAAGCGCTCTGCAGCAGCAGATTTTGGCGTTGCTGCTGTTGCTGCTGCTGTTGCTGCTGCTGCTGTCCTCTGTGCAGCAGCTGCAACAGCAGCGCTGGGGCTGCTGAGACCGAGGAGCCAACAGCACTTGCGTGTGTCCACATTCAAGCCAAAGCGATCCCCCACACAACTCAAGGGAGGTCCCCTCGGGTTCTAGAGACCTACTACGGGTGGAGTCCCGTACTCTACCCTTGTGCCGTCTGCGGCTGCTGCTGTTGTTGTTGCTGCTGGCTGCAGCAGACCCAAGTGCAGCAGCTGCAGCACAAGCAGCGGCACAATGCTGCTGCCCCATGTTTAGAGAATGAGCAGCAGAAATAAGAAACGTCAATCCTTCTAAGGCAGCAGACACCCGCACCTGCTGTTTTCCGTGGTGCTGCTGTTGCTGCTGCTCCGGCTGTCCCTTCTGCTCCTGCTGCAGCAAGGCTTTCTCCCCCTTTAGAACATGCGCGGGATCGGAGCCAGACATCTCAGGGACCCCACGGCTCCTCAATTGAACTGCCGCATCCCTTATTGCTACTACTCGAGTTGCAGCAGCAGCAAGGAAGGGCGCACTGCCAGATATAGTCACTGGCGCTATGCGGAGACACAAAAACAAACAACTGTCCCCAACTTGCAGCTGCTGCTGATGATGATCATGCTGAGCCTTTTTCTGATGCTGCTGCTGCTGCTGTTTCGTTGCTAAGGATGGTTCTGCTGCTGGCTGGAACCAGCCATAAGTTATTGTTTCGCCGCAATCTCCTCTCTTGAGGTGTATGTACACCGCAGGCATGTATTCACCTTGCTGCTGCTTAGCCTGTGGGGTGGTGCGAGCAGACAGGCAGGAGAGAGCATCTGCTGGCAGCGGAGGCACTTGAGCGGCAGCAAAAGAATCCTCAGTAGCAGCAGCAGCAGCAGAAGCAGAAGCAGGACAAGCAGTATCAGAATAAAAACCGGGGATAGAGCAATCACGCACTGTTCCAGCGCTGTCTCCTCCTTCCACTACATCGGATCCTGTCCCCTCTCTGCAACGTTTGCTGGTGCTGCTGCTGCTGTTGCTGCTGCTGCTGAGCTGAGTGTGGGGCCCGCAGGTGAGAAGGAAGCATCCAGCACCACTGCCAGCAAGACGGAATGATTTCACAGCAACGGAGATATCAGAGAGCAGCAGACCACTAACAAGCCCAGCAGCAGCAGATGAAGTAGCATCTGCTGCTGTTGCCGCTGCATCAGCATCAGCAGGAGGAATAGCTGCTCCAGCTGCAGGGCAACGGGCCGTGAGGGACATGCTGCTAGTGTGGAGAGACAGTACGATATCCGCGCTGCTGTCACGTGACTGTACATACACCTCAATCTGTGGGGCGGAGACACGAAATGCAGCAGACGACAAAGATACAGCAACAAAGGAGACAGGGGACACCCATGCGCGGCAGCAAGCAGCAGATTGCATGCATGCGGGCTCAGCAGCAAAACCACTCTCTCGTACGCGCAGCAGCCCAATCTCGCTGCTGCTTCTGCTGCTTCTGCTGCTGCTGTTGGTGCTGCTGCTGCTCGCAGTTGCTGATGAAGGGCGGAGGGGAGGCGGTAGCCATGAGGGGCGCGGCGGCAAATCGGCTGATCCTGCTGCTGCTGCTCCTGCTCCTGCTGACGGTGTTGCTGCTGCTTCTGCGGGAAGCGCTGCCCTTGAAAAGTCTATCTCCGCACCTGCCTGTGTCTGCTGCTGTTGCTGCTTTTGTTGCTGCTGTTGCAGTTGCTGCTGCTGAAGTTGCTGCTGCTGAAGTTGCTGCTGCTGCTGCTTGTGTCTCCGATGAATCTTTGTCACCCAGCACAAGAGAGCTGCAGCCTCCAGCAGCTGCTCCTCTTTGACGTGCAGCTGCACAGGAGACACCTCAGCAGCCACTGCCACAGACAGCGTGTGAAGCTGCTGCAGCCGCTGCTGCTGCTGCTCTTCCTCCTCCACCTCACCCTCGTCTTCGTGATGATGCTGCGGCTGCTGCTGCCGTCTCCGAGCCCCGCCTTTTAGCACCGCATTCGGGATCTGCTGCTGGTCTTCTTCCGGTGCAGGTGTCGCGGCAGCAGCGGCAGCAGCAGCTGCTGCTGCGGCTGCTGCAGTTGCTGCTACAGTTGCTGCTGGATCTGCTGCTGCAGCTACTGCTGCCTGTCCTCGCTGGTCGGTTCCTGTGGGTGCGGAGCCATATTGGTTTGCTGCTGCTGTCGACTGTAGCATCAAGTCGCTGCAGCAAGCAACAGAAGTGTCTCCTTTTTCCTTGCTGTCGATCGCCCAGTTTAGGGACAAAAGGAGACAGAAAGGCTTGCAAATATAACTGAAGAAATTACGCAGCAGCAGCAAGCAGCAAAGACACAAGAATAAAAGATTAGTTTGTTGCTATCCTTACTCACTGTCTGTCTCTTCCTGTCGCCATTCCTCCTTCTCTGTCACTGCCACCCTCTGTCCCTGTCTCTGTCTCTCTATTTCTCTAAATGTCTCCTTGTATCTCTCTACATATATGTCTCTCTCCCTGCCTATCTCCCCGCTTCTGTCTGTCTCTGTGAGAGGCTTACCCTTGTTGCTCCTGCTGCTCCTGCTGCTGCTCCTGCTGCTCGTGCTGCTGCTCCTGCTGCTGCCGCTGCTGCTGGAAGGCAGCAGCAAATGCATGTGACAAGGGATTGAGTTGCTGCCTAGAGGTCAACTCCCAACAACCACTCCTCCAATAAGAAGACACGCCTAACAAACGTAAGCCGCTAACTCCCTTTATTCCTTCTGCTGTCGCTGCAGCTGCAGCAGCAGCTGCTGCTGTTGCTGCAGCTGCTGCTGCAAGTGCTGCTTCCGCGTCTCCTTTGGCCTCCATACGGCCCCACACCTCCCCACAGTCTACTGCTTCGCCGCCCATAGATAATTCTCCTCCATATTCACTGCACGGCCACAAGGAAGCAGCGTCTGCTGCTCCTGCTGCTGTTGCTGCGGCAGCTGCTGCAGTTTCTGCTGTTTCTCTTGGTGCCGCTCCCGCTGCAGATGCAGCTTCCGCTGATGCCGCTGCTGCAGTTGCTGATGTCTCCGCAATACTTGCTGCCTGCCGCACAGCGTGTTGACCGCTTCCTGCATCTGCATCTTCATCTACTGCTGCGGCTGCTCCTGCTGGTCCTGTTCCTGCTGCTGCTGTCATTCTGTTTGCGCTTGTATCAAGAGGGACAGCAGGCAGAGAGGGGCGCCTCTTAATGCTTCCCCTCTCTGGGGTGTACGTGCAACCCATTGAGGTAAGAAGTTGTTTTTTATAATTTATTATTTCCTCATCAATAACAACAAAGGAAGAAGGAGCTGAAGAACGCCGGGCCCTGCCAGTTGCCGCAGTTGCTGCTGTTGCTGCTGCAGCTGTTGGTGGTCGTGGTGCTTCTTGTTCCTGTTCTTGTGTTGCCATTGATGCAGCTGCTGCTGTTGCTGCTGTTGCTTCCGTTGTTGCTGCTCCAGGTGTGAGAGAGATAGCAGCAGCAACAAAGCCGCACTGCAAGGGACGGAGGTCTGTGCATGGAGAAAACGATCGCATGTCTCTTCTCCCCCGCCTCCATCCCTCCTGCAGCAAGGGCTGCTGCTGCTGCTGCTGCTGCTCTACCCAGGGTTCACCTGCAGCAGTGCCTGCAGCAGCAGCAGCAAAGTGGGCCCGAGCCAGCGGGTCCTCCAGCCGCAGGTGTACATCTTCGATGTGCAAAGACACTCTGCTGCTGAGCAGCAGCAGCAGACGCCGCAGCAGCTGCTGCTGAAAGCCACCATCCCCCACTTCCCCGCTGCAGCTGCTGCTGCTGTTGTTGCTGCTGCTGGGAGAGTGGCGGCCGTTGCTGAGGATATCTCTTAAGGCTCGCCATACAGGAGAGAAGAAGACCCGCTGCAGCCGTGTCATCAAACGCTGCTGCTGCTGCTTTTGCTTCTGCTGTTGCTGCTGCTGCTGCGCTTTAAGTCCTTCGCTGGCGGGCTCCCTCTGTGTTGATACTAGAGCGTACACGCGGTGTACATACACCTCGATGCAGCCCTGCTGCTGCAGCAGCAGCTGCTGCAGCAGCTGCTTCCATGAGGCCTTGAGGTGTATCTCCCCTACAAGGAGAGAGTGCAGCAGCAAAGCAGAGGAGATGCTGCGGCTGCTGCATGCTAAACCCTTCAGCAGCAAGCCCCTATTTAAACTAACAGACAGAAGAGATGCCTCGAAGCCAACAGTCCGCAGCAGCCGCTGCAGCAGCACCGTCAACAACCGTTCAAACATTGTGCTGCTGCCGCTGTTGCTGCCGTTGCCTTCGTCTTCCTGCTGCTGCTGCTGCGCATGCTGCTGCTGCTCATGCGGCTGCTGCTGTTGCTCATGCTGTTGCTGCGGCACATGCTGCTGCTTTTGCCGCACATGCTGCTGCTGCTGCCCATGCTGTTGCTGCTCCTGCAGCTGCTGCAGCTGCAGCTGCTGCAGCTGCTGCCACTAAATATAGATGTCGCTCTCCTCCCCTTCTATGGAGCAGAGTCCTTTAGAGGCGGTTCAATCATTGCGCAGAGAGAGGAAGGGAAGCGGTTAAAAGGGAAGAGGCCCTAGGTTTCTGCCGCTTCAGTTGCTTTCGTTGGAGGAGCCGTGGCCTCTGCTGCAGCTGCTGCTCCTGCTACAGCAGCAGAAGCTGTTGATGATGGCGCTGTTGCTACTGCAGCAGCTGCTGCAGAAGCTGTAGCTGAGGTTGCCGTTGCAGTACCTGCTGCAGAATCTGATTTTTCTGCCGAAGGTGCTGCTGCTGTGGCGGAGACTTAGGCAGGACGAGAGAAGGGATGAGGGTATGCTATGGTGTACATACGCCTCAAGAGGATAGAGAGAAAGACAGACGAAGTATTGAAGATGTTTTGCATGCACGAAGAGGTCAGAGGGGCCGTCGTGACTAAGCGCAACAGCAGCAGCACTGGGAGGAGGAAAAGAGAAGATCCAGTTAATGCAATACCTCCTCCTTTCAATGAGGACTTTTTCCTTATTCTTTTTCTTTTACATTTTAATGTGTTTAGGTAAACGTTTAAAGGAAGGGTTTAGCTGCTGCTGCCCTTTACCTCGGGGGCCCCAGCAGCATCGGCAACCAACCAGTATACTACATACAGGGGCCCCTACAGGAGCCTCTTGTATTGGGGTATATGTTATGCCTTTCCACCTTTGCTTTCTTGTAGAGACAATTATACTAAATAGATTAAAATAAAGCAAGTGTATTTAAATGGTAATTGTCGTCCTCATTATGCCATCTCTAATGCGTTCAACTCCAAGGGGCCTCTGCAGCCGCTCCATCCGCAGCAGCAGCAGTTCCTGCTGATGCTGTTGCTGCAGCTACATTACTGAGGCCGTCGATGTGTGTGAGCTGTAATATGGATATTTTATTCCTTAAGGTGTTCATAAGGCATTAAATGGTACTCTTTTTAGTTGAAGTTTAACACAAAAAGCAACGTCGGTGTCCGCTGCCGTCGCGCCGCCGTCGATGCTCCTTGCTGGCGGGAACAATAAAGACAATAATTAAAAAAGACGGAAATAAATTAACAGATGAATTTATATACCTCAACAACTAGGAGAAAGAATAGAAGACAAGCATAGGCTTGCTCACAAGCAAATCTTATGCAGCTTCCTTTCATGTAGTCGGCATACAGATACGTACACTCTTACACATAAACAATCTCACACCCATACCCACCAACTACACATTTTACTACATTATGCAAAGCATTTCAAATATGTCTAAAGTCATCGATTGTATCCTCTTCACTCTCCAGTAGACAAGATGGTTCCTTAACCACTGTCCCCAATATCTGCATATGCAGCAAATAACCCTTCTTTCGTGTCCGTTTTCACACGTATGAAAATGTTTTCTACCTCCCTTAATGTGCAACAAATTGCCGTTAAACATGTAGGAGGATACCAAATTTACCGCAGCTACAACCCCTTCTGCAGCACCCGAGCTAATGACGGGTATGGAAGAAGCAACAAATGCTCTTTTATTTTACTTTGTATCTACTGCATCTCATAATTGTCCATAGATAAGATCCAAGTTTCATGTTGCATATATGCATATATATGCATATGCATGTACATAAGTATATACTTGTATGTACTTGTATATAATTGTATTTACGTGTACACTATGCAGGCCTCCGTATGGATTATTACACCTCTTATCGCGTATAATTGTTAATGTCCCTTTACTCGCATTTAATGTGTTATCTTGTGCAACGATTCATTTAGCACGTCGAGCACACTGCGGCGGAGAGGTCAACTGCAAGAACTCGAAGAGCCCGGTCCTCGCGGGAGCACCGAGCTTGCTAGCTGTCTCTACCCGTGGCTAGCTGTGGCTAGCCACAGCTAGCCTCGTAGCTCCACAGGGAGTTGCATGCACTTACATTGGGGTCATAAAGCTGCTTTTATTATCTTAGGAAAGTAAACGAAGTGGTGGAAGGAAGGGAAAGAAGCAGCGCGGGAAGGACAGAATTTCCTTACCTAGCCGGATGACTGCCGCTGTCATACCTACTGCTCCTGCTGCTAATACTGCTGCCGCTTCGTGTCAGCAACTATACGTGCCCTCCAATGCAGCGAAAGTGTCTGAGCTGGGGGGGACGCCTGACCCTATCTCCTGTCGCAGCTTTATGATCACTCCCTACTTAGGCGAGGTCTTGCTGCTGCTGCCGCTGCCGTTGTTGCTATTGATGCTGCCTGGGTTGCGTACTATTGCCTCTACTGCTGCTTGACTTGGGCTGCTGTAATCGTGCCACTGCAAGCCAAATACACCGGTTCGGCAGCTGCTGGATCAGCTGCTGCTGCACCCGGGCAGCAGTAAGGAAATGGTTGAAAGGAAGGTGGCAGCAAGGAAGGAGGCTAAAGAGAATTAGACTAATAAGGAGGTGTGGCAAGGAGGAAAGCAAGGCCAAGGCGGAGACAGACGGCAACCACCACCAGTTCGTCTCGTTGTTGTGTTTGTGTTTAGTCTTTTATATTGTTTACTGTTTGGTGCTATTTGCCGCAAAGTTTATTCCTTCCTGTTTGTTATCGCTAGTGTTTCAGTGTATGAGTGTACTATTTGTTTATGCTGATTGTTTCTGTTGATGTTTCTGTGCCTGGTCTACTTTGCCTTGTGGCAGATTGTTCGTTCGAATACAAGAACATGAATAAAAAACAAATAAACGGTTAATTAAAAAGATAAATTCGCAAATAATGATTATATTGTTGGTGCATGTGGTGCTACCACTTTGCATATATTTCTTATTTAGTGGGTGGCTGTTAGAGTCCTTGCTAGCAGTCTATCTATCCTCATCAAGAGGAGGAGCATCTCTAAGGGTAGGATATTGCCACATATCTTTGTCGCTAAGAAAGTCAGGTCTCGGTAAGGGCTTAGTTGGGGGATTAATGGGTGGCCTGGGGAAGGAAGGAATCCCCTTCCTACGTCGGTGACATAGAAACCGATTTTCTTCTTTGCTGAGAACATGTTCAGTACGATATCTCCATAAGTCTTCTCGCAGCAGCTCTTCTCTTGGCTCAGGCAGCACATTACATAGCATTATATCGCGAGAGACGTCATGGGTATACTTAACGCGGCCATGGACAAGAGCTACTAAAGAGGAATTCTTTGATACCCCTACATTCTCACCTGGGTAGAACTTCTGATGCCTCTTGCGTCGCTTATTCTCAAAACCCCATGCAATATAACGACGCTGCCTCACCAATAGACACCCAGGGGTTACATACTCGGCAGATAATCGGCATACTCCCAAGTGCGCCTTCTGGCTCTGACCCGTAGGAGAGGCGCGGCTGCGGCGGCGATAAGCTGAAACTTTCACCATCTTAAACCGCACACTTTGACGCATACAATCCAAATATAATAGACTAGATACACCGCCCATTTTACCAGCAACATATCCACCATGCAAATCAGAAACAATTCTCCCACTCAATAACAAACCTGGCAAAGTAGACGAAAAACCCGAAATCACCCTCATACACGAAACAGGCGTATGGGGGGATGAAGAAAAAGCACTCGAGCAGGAAGTATTCGCACGATGGCAAGTGCTGCTAGAGACCAACCGATAATCAATTCGAGGACTGTCACCACCAAATCCACTGCTCGTCACGGCATCTATACAGGAATATCCATGACAAGGATTGATCCGTGATGATGATGATGATGATGATGCTGCTGATGATGATGCTGATGCTGCTGCTGATGATGATGGTGATGATGACGATGATGATGGTGATGATGATGATGATGATGTAGTGCCCAAGTTTGCACGCAAGCGCCCCTCCGACAATCCAGTACGCAGGCAAGCCACAGATATCCCCCCAGGCACACCACCACAAGAAGAAGGCAGGAATGACGCTTGTAAGCAGCGGATAGCATTCCACCAAGAAGGCCGCCCCCTCAGGCCGTATAACAAACGCGCTCCGAGACAGGACTGCATCGCAGTAGGAGGAGCCCGTCTTCATTCACTGCTCTGCAAGGGGTAAAGCCTCAAGTCGACGCATCTCCCCTCAACATCCTAACACCTACACTGCAAACCAGTCGACTCACATCAAGGGGGGCTGCAAAAAAGGAACAGAAAGACGAACAGGAATTCACGGGCTCTCGCCCACGGCACGGTGAGTTAACACAGACGAAATAATAATAACCAAATGCATCCATACTCAGTAAATACACTCATATATCCTGCAGCGTGAAGACAAATGGTCAACTTGAGAGGTAAAATGACCACCGAGCTGCAGGAGCTGCTCGGACGACTTCGAAGGGGGCCCTCCCTTGAAGTCAGCGGCAGCTCAGCTCAGTGCAGCACAGGTGCAGCAGCTCTGCTTCTGGCACGGGTTCCCAGTTAAACAAACCTCCTTACTGATAATTTCAATTCGAAATATATTTAAATTGTGAATTTACGCTGGTTTTTGAGGGACAGTTGACTTTCCGACGATTCGAAGAACGGCCGCAACCGGCGCCCTACCAGTGAGTTAGTACGACGAGGCGGCTGCCAGGAGTATATCAGCTAGTTGAATCTGTGGAGAAATAGGGGCTAATTAGTAAAGACACCTGCATTATATACCTTAAAACAATTAATACTTCTAAATATATTGCTGAATCTGAAAAATGGCAGCAGTTAGACCCCCAATAACGGACATCGACCCGGAGTCGGAGGTCTACCAGGATGCCTTGGCTCAAGGCGCCATAGCCAAGGCGAGGTATGAAAAAGAGGAAGACATCTCCAAGCACATCAAAGACTTCTTCGACGCCAAATACTCACCCAATTGGCATTGCGTTGTTGGTAGAGACTTCGCAAATTGTTCTTCTTGCGAACATAAAACAAGTATCTTCTTTTATGTGGGGCAAATCGCCATTCTCCTGTACAAACTAGGGTAGCAGACAGGCGCAGCAGTATTTCTCCCTTGTTTATACATCCCACCGAATATATCTCTTCATTTTTTTCTCATTCCAGGGGGGCAAAGTATATGGAGGTCCTGATGGCTCTGGGACAGCAAAGATACCCCCTAGTGTCCGCTTGCGCTGGCGTCTGTCGCTCTTTGGGGCGCCTTGAATGCTGATGTCGAGATGAGGTTTCGCCTAGAGTGGCTTTCTTTTGTACCAATTCTTTTAATATCAATAGGACAGCCAGCTGCCTCCTTCGAAATTGTCCGCAATCACCCATGGAATGTTTATGGTGGCCAGGGCGTTTTGGCTGGCAGACCACAAGTCGGTGGACAGGTGAAACTACAGTGCCATCCATATTCCCTTGCACAGTCTGCAACAATGCTTCTAATGAAGAAGAAAGAGCGGCGGGGTCACGTGATCTTGGAATGCACTGAAGCACGGGCCGAGGGAAAACCGCCGTCGAGGTACACAACAACAAAGAACCGCAGGAACACACCTCAACCACTCCAGCTTCGTAAATACAACAAATTCCTAAAGCGGCACACGATCCACCGAGAAATTAAGTAGTTATCAGCAGTCGTGAACCGTTAATTTGGCCAGAATATGTCCGCCAGCGATTGGGGCGGCATTGTTTTGTATCAGGGGCAACGACACCGTGCACTGGTTTTTCAGCTATCCACGCATGGTTCGTGCACCTAACCGCTGCGCGCAAAACGCTTTTTTTTTGATGGCTGGGCCTAGATTGGACCCCGGCAATATGCCATTCCGCAGGTATATCGAGTGGATGGCTAATGCGGGGGAAGGAGCACACTTCACCGCAGAACTTCGTAGTTGCCGCGTTCTCTAGATGATATCGTGAAATTTGGGTCGTATGATCATTTAAGGATCTGTGTTTGAATAAAGCGCAGCCAGCCGTGTGATTGCATACTGTAATTTCAGCTACAGGATTTTGTGTCCTAAGCGTCTACCATGCTTTCCCAGTTATGAGGTTCATTCATAGTTGTCTTGCACATCTACCAGGCACACCTGAGCAGAAATCAGCACAAGTACCATAGTAGAATGTTGCATAGATTATTGCCGACTTCGGCGAACTCTGCTCTTTGAAGCAGTAGCACGTGCCCGGCATTTTTGCCAGTTTAGAACCGACCGTTGTTTGATATATTTATTCTAGAAATCGAAATGAATAATGTGACGGGTAATTAAAAATAGACGACAATGTTAGCATGCAAAAAAAGTGACGTTAGTAAAGGGGTTGCTGGAATTTGTGCTGTCTGTACTTCGGAGAGGAGGCGCGTGACGCACTGTTGTTTCAGGTGTCTGAGCAGTCTCATGTGCGGCAAATCCTCATTTTTCTTGTACTTTGCTGTGTGGTTCGACAAGGCAGCTGTTTAGCGGCGGTTAAATCACTGACATCAGAAAGTGGCGAATATGTTTCACTTGCTATGCGATGATGTATTCCCATAAGCCAAGTCGAGTGTTTCCCGCGCCAATTCGAAAAAATGGATTGCAAGAACGTTCTGATGTCGGAAGGAGTCGTGGAGCCACTTTTTCAGCTCCTCGTGCACAAGGTCACGATTGCAAAGTTTGATTTACTCAGGGACCTCGGTACGACTCCATTAACTACAGCAGCTATGCTGACTCTACTTCTACTTGCTGCTGTGAGATACCCACTATGCTGACACATCAGCAAAAAAAAAGGCGCTACCCGACTGCCCGGAAGATTCGGAAGGTACAGGTGGCAGTGAAAGAAACTATCTGCAGAAGTCGCTAATGTGAAACAACAGAGTTTTTTGAGCATGGAACGGTGTTATTTCTGGGCTCCTTCGGTCAAGCCGCAGGGCTTGAGCTCCAGCTCTGGTAATTCAGATAACACTTTTCTATTCGATCCATCTGCCAAAAATGTTTGTGCCAGGTTATGTCCAAACGGTAACACTGCATCATTTAAAGCAGTTGTAATTTACAGAAAATTGTTTCGTAGGAGATCGAGAGGACTGGGACGCGCTAACGATAACTATATCAAACGAAGGTAGCACGGATTTAAAGCTGACTCTTAAAGAGTTATAGTTCACGGTCAAAATGCAGGCACGGAAGGTAGTGCATTTGCACTTGTATGCAAGCCTTCAGAACGTCACATTGATAGACAGATCTCCCTGACGTTACAAAACTTACTCTGCTCGATGCCCGGGACGAATTCAAAGAGATCTCATCATGTGAAACCGTTGGGATCTGCAGAGCAAAACGCGGCTATGTGCGCTTCTTCTTCAACTGGACAGACCACAACATCCTTCGAGTCAGTCACATCATACTGGTTACGTTCTCTGGCGTGTTTCAATACTGCTCAGGTTGGCAGTCGTCTAGTCCTTAAAGTGGAAATGCGCTTCCTTCGTCGGCTTATTCACATCGACTCGGAGCCAAATCGTGGAGCGTCACCTGGTTCCCTGCAATGTGACGTGTTCCAATACTTGTCCGGAAAGTAAGGAAATGGCACGAAGGGAAGCCCTATGCCGATACCATGGAGTTTCTTCAGATTCTTCAAGGAGGCAACTGGTACGACCTACGCCCACTGGTACTGGTCTTTTCAACACAGCCGATCCATCTGTGATCAGATCGTGTAGTTGTTCAAGTGGGCTCACGACGTATGTTGAAATTATATTCGAGAAGCACAACAGTGCCGCATGTTACGTTCTCTAAAGGGGTACTTTGCAGCAAAGCCCTTCTATCATGTCGTTCACCAGTGTTCGAAAGGATGTTTTCGGGTATGTTGAATAGACTGTCTGGAATAATCCTTCGTTGATTCAAATAGCAGGAAGCTTCAAAGAGGCAAATTCGAGCTTCATCGCCTTAGAGGACATGGATACCGATGTTGCCATAATGCTAATCGAGTGGATACAAGAAGACAAGTACGGCGGTATTGCTTTCCATGTTGGCCGTAAAACGCATACAAAGGTCCTTTCCAGGTTGCCTGATTCAGCTGAGCTGAACTGGACTAGATGTATGCGTGTTCTCATGGCCGCCGACAAGTTCCAAGTCCACACATTGGTGAGTCCACGCAAAGCTTGTTCCTATTTAACCATGAAAAACAATGCTTTCAAAGGTGCACTACTGCATTTGCCATCTTCGTCGCCTCCTCACTCAAGGAAGCGTGACATTCGACGAGATCATCGTAGTCCGCAAAATGCTGCAACAGTGTACAGGAACAAATACTACAAAACTTGGTCAGCTAACATTTGTTGTTTTCCGAAGCCTCCAGATAATCTTCTCTGCAGCTAGGGACTGTGAGGCCTATGTAACAGCTCGAGCAGCGTCCGATCCATCAAAGATGTGGAGCATCTTAGACTGCGGAAGCATCGAGATAAGAAAACCATGTGGCAAGGCCACTTCAGCAACCACGAAATCAACTTGAAAAACACATTTTCTTGGACGTGCGTACCGCCGCTGAGAACTGTAATCAAGAGCACTGAGATATTTTGCCTGTTACTCTAATTGTGGCTAGTCACATGAGTTCGTGCAAACGAAGCATCAGTAGAGCGCAAGATGCACCTGGGAGTAACTAATAGAATGCCAGGGGAACCACTCCTGTATAAGCCTAACAAATGCATGACTGCCGCAAAAACATCAATACCTTCAAAGTTCAACATTAGTTCAAGGTTAGAACGCCCCGCAACAGCCTAAAGCCGGCTTCAAACACTATCTCCCGACAAAACGACGCTTCGAAAGTCACGTTGCTGTTCGGGCATCGCCTTGTCTACCAATGCAAAGCCTGTGTAACAGCCACTACACTGTGTCGGCATTGCAGAGCCACCTCCGCACAATATTGTTCCAGGGGATTCACACCGCACAAATTTCCTTTGGTGCAGATCTCTCTGAAAAGAGAGCCACCATGAACGGCGGCGCTGTGCAGAGGTTAGGCACGCTAATAGCGCATTACATGAGGCGCCATAGTCCGCACCCCTAAGACGAAGAAGCTTGTGAGGTTTCGACCTCCTGTCAATCGCACGCACAACCAAATCTGCACAACCTTTCTGTAGATATCTACAAATGTTTCGCTTAAATTTGGCTGCAGGAAATGCGCAATCCTCACATATTAATAGCGAGTCAATTTGGCTTCAACGGTGCAAGACTCACGGTGCCGTCATGATTCTTATTTGGCACCGCTGCAGAGGGAGCCGATTCTCCGGCCTTCTCGCTATGCTTTGCATCATCTTGTTTTGCAGTAGCTGATCCTTCTGTTTCTACTGCCGGTTTTTTTCTTACGACTTTTGGAGCATCCTCCATGTCAAACTCTTCTTCTTCATCACTCGAGTTCACACTCATATCCCCTGCGAATACACACATTACATAATACTGTATATATAAAGTTTGCTATCGAAGATAAACGAACGCGTAAACACTGGAAAATGCTGCAAATATGTACCGAGCATCTGTTGGAAGAGAGTCGGCTCCTCGTCCAGCCTGATATCCTCTGGATGAACGAAAACTTCGCGAGGCTTTTCCTCGGGGGTGTATGCTGTAAAACAACGCATAAGCACACAAGATCGATTTTCCAGCACGAGAAATTTAAAGGGACAAGACTTCACATGTAATTTACCTCTAAATTCCACATCAATTGAGACGTCCACTCCCGCATAGGAATCACAGGATGCGGCAACTGTCATCACGTTCTTCCCAGGCCTTCCCACTCTAAACTGCAAGCTCTCTTTGACCACTCTTTCCAAGTTCCTGGTCTTCAGGAAATTGATGAGACGCCCTGAAACAAAGAATACAGCATCAACACGAATCTGTTTTGGGAGGAAACAAATATCACATATACCCTTACGTGAGGACAATTTCTACAACTGTTCTACGGCCTACCTCCACCAACACCCTCCCCCTTTTCCTTCAAGAATATCCACCATTCTTCGTATTTAGGTTCTTGAAAGTATGGCGCATGTACTGCTCCAGCAGCTTCGCCTTCCTGTAACACCGTCAAGCAAGCGATGACACTCTATACATGCGTAACTGCATTTCCTTCCAGATCAGTTCCTCCGGAGCCCGAATTCGCCTGATATAGAAGTGAAGCATACTTTTAGAATAAGTTAAGCTGTGCATCCTCGTACCTTCAAGTTCTTTCGTGTCATAGTTATGCGGCACGTAGCTACGTCGCCGACAACGATTTCCGCCTCGTCATCTACAACGATCTCCGCTTGGAGCTCAATATTAGGGACATGCTCGCAAAAGGCCTGAACGTCAGCCTGCTGTTCCTTTGACATATCTAGGGTGCCTCGTCGTTCCTCGCCCTCTTGACGTAAGAACTCGCCCAGCTCGCGAATAACATGCTTCCCCCTAGAAATCCAGACACACACTTCAATTCAGGAAATCCGCAAACACGAATCGGAGGGTACTGCTAGACAGTTTTCCTCAGGATAGTATGCCTATGACGAGCACACTGTTTGCCCTCACCGATGGCAGATGCGAACAATGTCCTCATCAAAATGGGGAATTTGCAAAAGCGATTGTGACCTTCCATTAATTGCTTGAACCAGACAGCGCCGGAACTCCAAGACTGAATCTGCCGTCATGTACCAATCACTGAGGACGGAAATTTCCATCATGCACTGCGTTATCAAAAGCGAGTCCCTGCAGAAAGCACCGACAACCAAACATACATTGATAGCCTCACGCACGTAAACCGTCACAGCAACGAATATATACTCCAGGTGCAGCTTCCGCTTGCCCGCTGCCTACTTGAGAAGTTGGTTTAACTCGTTCCGAAGTCGTGGGCTCATTAGCTCGTGCAGCCGCTGCATGTGAGCATTGATGAGGTAACAGTTCCTGTAAGCAGCCAGCGCACGCGCAGGACAGAAGTAAAGTTCGATATGAAGTGCAGCAGTCACTCTGGAACGTTTAAAACAGTGGAATGGTTGAATGAATGTTATTCAGTTTTCACAAAACACACTAACTATGATGTTGCAGCCGGAGAAAACATACCGGACAATTACAGGCATTGTAAATATGCGCTTTTTGGTCTCTACAACAGCATCACATATCTGCTTCATGTCTTTGTCATCGTCTCGTTCGATCTTCATTGCCCGGCTCTCTCCGCTAGCAGCAAGCAGCTCTGGCAAATTCTTAAGCCGTGTGCCTTCTGTCATGACATGCGTCAGGAATTGCACCGTATCGACCATGACGCCGTTAGCTGAAAAGTCGACAAGCAAACCATATGTGTATCAAGTGAACAATATGCTGCACGATGACGCCCAGTTTCAATGTAAACAGCGCACGACACCGGAAGTCCAGAGGTGAAAGGCGGCACAACGTCCCCAGAAAAAGGGCGTTTGACGGGTTTACATTCCCCGTTATACGCGCAAGCTGCAACGTCAGAAAGGCGCGATCCTGCTGGAGCATGGGCAACAGATATTTTAAGCCTTAGATACACCTGAGGTAAAGAATCCCACGACTCGAGCGTCAACCTACGAGCATATTTCTTCTGCCGCTGATAATAGCAGAGGAAAATCATTGGTAAGACGACAAGGAGAAAGAGGAAGAAGAATGATAGGACGAAAATTTGGTTGCCTTCTTCAACTAAAAATCTGGGAAGTCCAACACCAATCTTCATTCCTCCGGGGCCGTCCGGATTGCCGTACTTTTCGTAGTTCTTCTTTGCCACCTGAAGAAGAAAACGAAGACGGAATCTTTCAAATTGTCGATGGTTTACACAATGGAACACTCACGGTAACGTTTTGGCCGCGTTTTTCGTGCCTACTTCGTCGGTTAGTGCCTGGTATGCCTTCGCGATCATGATGAACCTGGCACCTTGCGTCGGGTCGTTCACGTTCTTGTCTGGGTGGTATTTGAGTGACATGAGACGATAGGCCTTTTTGATTTCTCTCTGTGTTGCTGAGGGGCTGACGTCGAGGATTTCGAAGGGGTCGAAGGTCTTGATGCTCTGGACGTCTTGCAAGTTACGGCAGATCAAGACGAAGCCAAGCCAGCAGAGCACGAGGGCTGTGAATTCAACAAGCCTGCCCTTTGTGAGGAAACGTGTGCGGAAAAGCGACAGCTTCTTGTGAAGCTCAGCGCGCTGTGCAATACATGCACTGCATTTGCAGTATCTGAAGATGGAACCCACGGCGGACTTCTCGGGGTACTTTTGGCGGTAGGCGTTGGACACGGCGAGGCATTTTCGAAAGAAGAAAAAGCTCCACGGTATCAATATGCAGACGGTGACACTGCATAAGAAGAACATAAATGCATTGTCGTCATAGTCTAACAAATTCTCCCGCTGCTCGTCTTTCGTGAACGTGTCCCGAAACTGCGACATTTTCGCCTGCGCCCCTCCCTCCCAAGCTTCCAGGAGGGGCTGAGAGAGAGAATCGCTATGCTAAAATCCTCTGACGAGATCTAAAACCAATCAAATAACGCTTTCGGCAGCGGCAGATGAAGAGCAGCATTCAGCGGCCGAACCATGGGGAGTGCTGTAGTGCCGGGCAATGCAATAAGCCTGGAACTTCGAGAAAAGGCTGGAGGACAAGAGAAGAAATAATTTAAGGCAGAAACGAGCTCAGTTACCTAAGTATCTAGCAAATGGCCTGTCCCTAGGACTAGCAAGACACTGGTGGCAGCTATTTGGGGCTGGATAAGCCCGTGTGCATATCTCGTAAGGATCGCCCAACTTACCTGTCTGTATTCGTTTCGTTCCCGCTGCTTCTAAGTTGTAGACTCTTACGTAGTATGTAGCGATGTGTATAAGTTTTCCGACATAGGTGGCCGATATGTTCGAGTTTTCGCGCATAGGTAAGGCAAGCGAGATCGTCCGTGGGCGCAGTGTAGTGCACAGGCAGTACAATGTGGCTCTGGTGTGATCTCTAGTAGCTCAGTGACCATAAAGAGAATGATTATGGCATTACCAACTAAGAAAGGGAGTTAATACTGCTAAATGTTCTAAGAATCGAGTACCATAGGTGGAGCCATAGGTTAGTAGGATTACCCCGCCAGCAGCCACTATCGGCAGTGTAGCGGACTACACTACTTCGGTACCAGGTAGGCTTCTTAAGAGATCCAATTGAAAAAGAAATAGAATTATTACTAGATAGGAGTATTATATCTATAATTGCGACTTTGGTAGATAGCAGTTATAGGTCAGTCTCCTGAACGTGCCATCACTGCTGATATCCCCGCGTCATCCACAAGTTTATCAAAAACAGTATCTGCAGACCACCGGTTCAACAGAAGGCAGCAGAGGCGGCGTGAGCTAGCCAGCGAGCTAGCGAAATGGAGCGTGGAGATGGCAACGGCGGGGAATCCGTTAGTAGAGAGTACGCGGGTGGAGAGACCCGAGGAAAGATATGTATCGAGTATACAGGGGTTCTGTGCGGAGTGGCGCCAGAACTTCATGCCATTCCAGTCTCCCGGAGGTGGGGAAAGACGCTGAAGCGTGAGAGCCAATCCGCAGAGGCAGAGTCTGCTGACTATGAGGAGGTCCCACAGAGGACAGCGGTGCAGCCTTATGCAGAGTCCATTGGGGACGAAGTCGAGGGGATGCAGTAAGCAGAGCAGGAGTTCTGCGAAAGGGGCACAGAAGGGGCGGGATAACCCGCGGTGTGGGGTATGGTGCGGTGTGGGCACTACCGCAGTTCTGCAAGGCGTTCGTGGACTCGCAGAAATCTAAGAGTTTCATTAGTCAGGAGAAAGTTGATCGTTTACAACTGAAGGCGCGATGACCTTCAGAGGAGTGATGTTTATGGAGATCACTGGCGAGCAGATGCGCAGTGATCGGGTCGTCATGAGATCGACGACGTGGAGTGGACATGAGCATTCCATAGGCTACTGACAAATTTCTGTTTTATTCCGCAAGCTGTAAGGTGTCAACGGGATTTACTCTTGACAACTTCATATTACAACCCACCGTTTGCAGTACAAAATGTTCGCCAGGCTAATTTCACTAGGATTTCTCGTAGAGGGCGCAGTTCTGTCCGACAGCCTACTGTACTTCGCCGCATTCGTTTATGGAAGAATCGAATATAGTGCAGATGCAATTAAATTTCAGGAGCAGCCGCTGTTCATTCCAAATTACAAACGGATTAAGAACGGTGAAGCAGACCTTAATTATGTAAGGAACAGAATCAAGCGAGGTGTAATCCTGACGATGCGGTGAGCCTACTGCTCCAGTAGCACACGACCGCCGCGAGCTAATCAAAGTACATACGAAGCGAATTTCCATAATGCAGCTCACCTCCCTTTCGATCTCAAGGTTTCACGCACCTGCCTATACAAGGGCCTGGGGCTGATGTTGAGGGAAGCCTGTTCCTCACAAGCTGTGCCCAGCTTGCTCTGTGGCCTGCTGGGATGCAACTGTTCATGCACTGGGGTCCACAGACCCTTTTCATGCACGCACTAAAAATATAGGCAATATCAAGACGCTCTCTTGACTCCGAGCCGCCAATCTCACGCTGAGTGCGAATGTACGTACCAACTCCACGGTCGAGCGTTCACTCCAACTAGTTTGCAAGTAGCGGTATTCATCTGACCTATTTAGACGTGCCGAAGCGTGTGCACATATGGGCGACGAAGGGCCAAGTATGTGCCCAACAACTGAATAGGATGATTGTGCATGCGACGAATTGGAGCTTCATTAGGCGTGGTTGCTGTGAGACGGGCGATGCAGGAGTGATGGTACAGCAACGCAAGAGAGGCTACATATCCTACCCACTATTACCAAAATTCTCTTCTGCTATGTTGACTATGCCTGAAAGGAGAAGGGGGCATCAGCAACCCTACGTAGTTGACTTCATTCCAGCTCAGCCCTGAGATGAGCTAAGGACAAGAAATTTTGCTGCACTCGACAGCACGGCACGAAGAAGGGATAGGGCGCGATCCGTATACCACACCTGTTGTGCATAAGGCAAAGCATTCCCTCGTCGTTAAGGTGCTTCGTCCTTTGTAAACCTTTTAGTGGCTATCAAAGGGTCCCTGTAGAGCTTTCTGCATCTTGCTCTCGCACTTTGAGGAGGTCGATGAGACGTCGTTGCCTTACCTTGTTGGAAGGAGCGCAATCTTCGCACAGTTCACGTAAAGGGCCGCTGGCGCACCTTCCACACCCTAGCGCTCATCTTGTTCGCTTAGCTTGTGCTACTGTTCCCTGCTGCATGCGCTGAATCTCGCCTTTTTTTTTGGATTTTGTCTGCGTTTCTTGGGTATGCACAAGGCGGCGAAACGTGCCAAACTCAGCAGAATCACCAATGATCGAAGGAAAGAAGAGTTTTCAGAAAGCCGCACAGCGTGAAATACATCCCAACGTAGAACCTTACGTCCAGGATATGAGGTTCGCAAATTGGAATTTGGCTAGCTTTCCCTGAGGAACTGGCTCCTCCCAGATTAGAAAACCGTGGCATCAAGTGGGCCACTAGAAATCCAAGAAGACGATTAGGAAACCGTCTATGAAATGATAATCTGCCTTCGCCCACCAGGCTTCCCTCGGCTTCTTGTTTGAAGTAGGTGAACAAACGAAATTAATTTAGGCTAGAAGACAAGTGTGCAAACTCCAAACACTTTTGCTCGCTTGTGGTCTCTATACTGAGGTCAAACATCCTTTTAAATTCATATGCTTTCAGAATTCCCTAAAATGAACCCTACAGTCACGCCCTTTGCCGCTATGCTGGTGACAGTAGTACCTTGAATGTTGTGCTCTGTCGTCCGCCTGATGGGACGTGCGATTTTACCAAACATATGCATAAAATATAGGTTGTTTATAAAGCTGTTGACTCAACATGGAGCATTACTTAAATGGATTTTGGTCAATTCGACAAGGAACCACTTTTGTGCCCTTGTAGTATGTCCATTAATAAACAACTGTTCACATGGCAGAGCCTATTTAAGGCGTGCCGTCTGACTGCTGAAACCTAAAATTAATTGAATTAAATAACATTTATTGTTCCCCTGGGATAAAATACCGTTTTTGCTGCCGACCGTCTTGGTGAGTGCTAAAGCGGAGACAACACAGCTGCCGCCAACCCGAGTCCTACGCACAAGCTGAGAAGTAAGCCCAAATGCGGAGCAGAAGCACTGGACGCCTCTACAGTGCGGATACATAAAGGGGCTGAAGGCACAAATTCCATTTTCCCATCTCTCTCGTGGCAAGTCACTGTGGCGTGGCCCATCATTGTAAAGCCGGGGTTGCAGGTGTACGTCACTGTGTCTCCCTGCACATGCAAGCAGACGCATACCCACAATTCACAGATAGAGCACTATACGAGACCAACAAATTTAAGCTATCCTCCTATACGAGGGGTCGTTGCAAGGGGCAATGCAAGCCAGTGAACAAGACGCTGCAACATCCACCCGCGATTCTACCTCCTTTTCTGCTCGTCTGCTCGTTCGTAGTTTCTCTCGTGGGATCAGAGTTTCGAATTTCTTGAGTATACTTACCACGCGCATATAAGGCCCCAGCATAGTGTCTGAAAAAATGCGAGTGGAGTGCCGCACCAGTGGAGGCTCCACGCAACCTGTGGAAGAACCACAATTGAAAACAAATATGGAACAAATATGGTGAAAGCACCGTCTGCCAGTTCACATGGCAGCACAGCAGCGGGTGGGACGCCCTGTGCAGAAACCTTCTCTTCTCTGGTGTTCACATCGAATTCAAGGAACTATCGCCTCACTCCTTTTTTGACTGTACTCCCGTAAGAACTGCGCAATTTCCTCCCGGCCGGGGCCTTTACCCGCTTTCTCCACCATTGCCAAAGGCGTCAGCCCATCCTAAAGAACAAACATAATATCAATCACCCTTTATAATCGTAACCACAAGTTGCCTCTAACCGTGCGCGAAAGGGAATGAAATAGAGCAATAAACTCTGCTGCTGTTCGGTGGCTGCAGACAGCTTGGATGTCTCGTGTCCTCGCTTGTTGTTGGGGTTGCCGTTGCAGTTTGTCACCTGCACCCAACAAGAGAAATACAGGAAACTTCTTATATTCGTGAGTTAAAATACTCACTGCGTTCTTTTCATCTGGTGGTGCGCCGGTCAGGGCAACTAGGCGCCTGACAATCTCCACATATCCTCCCCTAGAGGCCAAGTGAAGGGGAGTATTTCCGCTTCTGTCCCTAGCCATGGGGTTTGCATGGTGCATGAGAAGGGCCTCGAGGGCGAGAGCAGGGACAATGGGGCGAGGAACGGCTTGGAATGAATCGGGGGCGGCAGCCAGGTGTATGGGCGCCTTGCCCCTGTAGTTCAGCTGGTTGATGTTGCTGAGGGCCAGCTCTGCCTTCTCCAGCAGACGTGTGGTGGCAGTATAGGAGTTGAAGGACGCAGCATAATGCAGCGCAGTGTTGCCGCGTGAATCGACAGCTGCAGCGTCCGCCCCGTGGTCCAGGAGAATTCCCACAACTCCCCAGTTGTCTGCTGCTGCAGCGTAGTGCAGAGCACTGAGACCTGCCTGTAGATGACAAAGGAAGCAACAAAACGAATAAATAAAGACTGGACCGGAGAATAAGTGCCCAGACGAGGGAGGCGGAACAACCAGGGAGAGAGAAGTACGTGTGCCCACAGTAAGTTAGACAAAACACCAAATTCTAATGCTAAATTGATTTTATAGACGATTGAGAAAAAGAGAACAGTCACGCGGGATACGTGATTGGCAGAACCAGGAGGGGAAGGGCGTACCTTGTCTGTGGCCTTAACATCTGCTTTAGCCAGGATTAGCCTTTTGATGAACTCGTGAGAGTGGGCGGTGGGGTGAAGGGCGGCTACCATGAGGGGCGTTCGACCCCAACTGTCCCTACTGTCTGCTTTGGCCCCATAGTGCATAAGCAGCTCCATTGCCTCCACGCTGTCAGGAGCCTGTACAAGTGCCGCTGCATGCATCGGCGTCCCACTGGCCATCTGCATGCATCCCCCGCCAACACAAGATAAAATAAACACAGTATACCAAGTTGAAGTCCTCTGATCTGCGCGGAAGGATTAAGTAAGCAGACGCGTCTTTCCACATTCAACGATTCCACAACAAGCAACATTGTAGACACGAAATAAATGCGCAGTACGAACCCAAAGCAGCATACGAAAATATATATGTAGTGTAGGAGAGCAAGAAAGGAACAAAACCCCACCTCAGTGGTCTGCAGCTTTTGAAGAGGTGCCCCTGTCTGTGTCTGTGGCCTCGTCTTGTGGGGAAGAGCCGGCAGCTCTGGAAATGCCCCATATTGCAGCAACACCTCCACCACGTGGGGCTTCCTCGCCGCTATAGCCGCATGCAAGATAGAGTCACCGTCATTAACGCGAGGGGGACTGCTGTTCTGCAAAAACACATGTCGCCGGCCTGCAGCAATGCCTAGTGCTTTATCCTTGTCTTTAAACCGCTTGACGAATTCAGGCTTAAAAGCGTCACACAGAAGTTCCAGGGCAAAGCAGCCATGGTTTTTCCTATGGGCGCTTTCAGCATGTTGAGTCAAAAGATTGGATGAATTACTACTTTGGAGACAACGCGCGACGACAATTACAATAAAAACAACTAAACAGCACGAATCACGAATCATGAGCAAGCCACAGCCAGCTATTACAACCCTAGTAACAGGGAAGAGTAGGACTGATCCAAGTACAGAAATTTCACTGACAGCAGCAACAATAGCGTGTATCTGAATTAGCAAAAGGAGCAAATATTTAGAGCAGAATAAGCGAAAGAATAATGCTCACCTCTGTTGCCCTGCAATACCGAAAGTTTCTGTGGGTCGAGTTGGCGACGTCTGCAGCCCTCAGTAGTGCAGAAAGTTCAGTTAAAGAAAACGGGCCATCAATTCGCCGAAACACCTCGTCACAAAAGCCTTGCTCAGCCTCTTGAAAATGGACTGCATGGGAAACACAGCACAGAGCCAAAGGTCTTGTGTTAACTTTTTTCGTGCTTTCTGGGAGGAATGAATTCAGCACAACGCTTTCTAAGCACGGTATTGCTGCTGATCTAGCGAGACTGAGCTCGAGCGTAGTTTATAGCTTCCTAAATTCTTTGTTTCCCTCCTCCAGCTAATCATACAGAAACACTAATAAGGGGACAGTGAACAGACCGTTTTCTGTGGCCTTCTTTATCAGTGCAGTTTCTTCATCAATTATTTCCTTCGCTATGTCTGAGTAGCATTTGCCTTCTTCTGGCTTTTCGATGCCTTGTTCTTTTTGTTTTGAAGTCCCCCAGCCCTCTACCTTTTCTGGGGTACTCTCCTCCGGTGGCAGCGTTACTATTGCCGCGGCTGCGGCTGCTTTCTGAGCTACTTCTTCCTTTTTTGGCTCCCCATGCTTTGCAGCAACCTCAGAGGCTGTCGACACTTCTGCCGGTGGTGCTGCCGCTTCAGCTGATACTCCTTGTTGCTCTGCTGTCGTTGGTACTGGTGTTGCCACTTGTGCTGGTGGAGGTGGAGCTGCAGCCTCAGGTGGTGGTGTTGCTGCTTCCTGAGGTGGTGCTGCTCCCCCTGCTGCTTCTGTTGCCGCTGGCGTGTGAGGCTGATTTTGGGGTGCAGTCCCTGGTTTGTTGTCAGCTTCGCTGGGGGCTGCCGCTTCTTCTTTTTCAGTTGTGGGGGTCTCTTCGGCCTCCTCTTCCGCCTCTGCTTCCTTTGGTTCCTCCTCGGACTTTGCTTCCTTTTCTGTCCGCTCCTGCTTCTCTCCTTCAGCTGCCTTCCCTTCCTTGGTCTCTTCTTCCCCTCCTGCCTCCTCTTCTGTCTCTGCTCCTTTTGTTTCTGCCTCAGATTTCGTTTCCTTTTCCGTCTGTTCCTGTTTTTCTCCTTCAGCCGCTTTCCCTTCCTTTTCTTCTTCTGTCCCTTCCTGTTCCTCTTCAGACTTTTCCTTTTCAGCCTCAGAGCCCTCTTCCCCTTCGCGTGCTTCCTTTTTGCTTGTCTCTTCATTGGGGGCAGTTGCCTCCCCACCGCTACTGGCCCCCTCAGCCTCGCCTGCTGCTGTGCCTGGGGCTTCTTTTGCTGTTTCGGTCGTTTGCTGCTGACGAGATTCGGAAGCAGTTGAGGCAGAATTACCTTCAGCAGCCGTCTCAGTCTCAGCGGGTTCCTTTGTTGTTGTTTGTTTCTCCTCCTCTTCCGCCTCTTCCTCCCCTCCCTCTGTCTTTTCTCCCTTCTCTCCCTTATCAGTAGAAGCACTTGGCGCTGCTGCCGCCTGTGAAGTGGCCTCAGGAGTTTCCTCTGTTCCTTGTGCCGAGCTCTTGCTGGCGCTGCTGGCGGCTTCGGAGCTCTCACTGGCTGATGTGTTTGCGTTATCTGAGCTGCGGCTGCTGTTGCTGCTGTTGTCGCCATCTCCTCCTTCGTCTGACCTGTTCGTGCTGTCTTCCGTTTCTTTATCTTCTGCATCTGAAGTTTTATCCGTTTCTTTAGCTGCGTTGCTGCCTTCTTGTGCGTCAGAGTCCTGTTGCAGCTGCGCTGCCAGCTGTAGGGCCGAAATGCCCTTGTTTCCGTGTCTCAACCCGTCTGCAGATGCAGCCGCCGCTGTTTTCCATCGCCTTTCTCCGGAAAACAGCCCTTTTTCGGGCCCATGAATTCCATAAAAGGGCTGCAAGCCAATTTTGTATGGTTGCAGTCCGCTGTAGGAGCTTCCCATATCACTGAAGGATGGAGCGTCCTCCTCCATTCCCTCTTGATTTCCCAGAACATCGATATCAGCTGCTGCACCTGCATTCTGGTTTTCTTTTTCACCTGACAGACGGTACTGACTAAAAGTGGCTGCTGGAGTGAGGCCCCCTGCAGCAACACTTGGCGACGCTGTTGAAGGGAAGAGGCCGGCCTGAGTGTTCGACCCCCACTTTCGGAGAGGCACCACGGCGGAAGCGCCGTCACCTTAGAAACAATAAAACCATTCCACAACACAAACGGCACATTTTTTGGGGAGCAGCAGACAAAAGGGGAAGCAGATAACACAAAACGGCAAGAAATAAGAGGGCAAACGGCCAACAGTTTCGGTCCTAGGAAGGTCTATGTGAGTGGGTTCACTCGAAGCCTCTGCAGGGAAAAACGCGTCAAGGCACTGGGTATTTGTGCAACATTTTTCACACTTGAATAAGACAAACACAAGAAGCCCCTGGCGACTTTCTCCAAAGTCTCAGTCGTCTGCGCTCCCACAAGAGAGCTGCTGAGCTGTGGAACTGCTTTCCACATTTATTCTGTCGAGAGAAGCAGAGTGAACAGGGCGAGAGAGCATCGTCAGGCAGCGCAAAGCCGACAAATTTTCAAGGAACATTAGACCCAGTCGACAGTTGTAACTGAGGTATGAGACCGGGAACTACTGTTTAGTTTTCAGTTTAAGCCGTCTCTTTCTAGCATGTGGAAGTTTTCTCACCGTGAAACAATGAAAAGAGACAGAGAAGGAGAAGTTTGCTTGCAAGGCGCCTCGTCGGGCCCAGGCCCTCTGAGCCGCCACCCATTCTGACTTCCCGCCTGCTATGTTTAAGAGTTGGGCTGTTGACCGAAACTTGGTGGAGTATAAGACATAATTGTTGAATTTCAGCTACCAACTTATTCGGAAAGTCCTTAAAGGGCGTTCGAGAGGTCTCAAAGTTTAGATGGGCCTCAAGAGACTTGGCCTCTCGACGGGGCCTCGGGCTCGCGCGGGTCGGCAACGGTTTCCTGTGACCATAGAAGAAGAAACTTAAATATAATTAATCCTTCACCGTTACAAGATCTTTTCACGTGTAAATTAGTAATATACAGACTGAGGTGCATTTTATTTCTGCTGAAGTCCTCCTTAGGCCTCCGTTGGGCCTCCTCTCCGTGGAAGACCATTGGAAACCTGCAAGATCAGTAGAGCGAGCTAATGAGAGCTGGAGTTAGTTTAGACAATATTATGTATCCCACCTTCGCTCGTGAATGTCGCGTTTTCTTTTTCTCATTTCTCTTACGTTACTCGCTGATGTTACGATGTTGCTCATATTCGGTATCTTTCTGTTTCCCTGCGTCAGTTTAGCTGCTGTCCGCAACGTTGCAATGCAGTGGTGTATGTGTAATCCGACAGCTCTGCCCAGGTCCTTTTTAGCAACTATATAACTCCTGCTTATTTTTAAGATATTCAATGTATTAAAAGGTCAATGGAAGACACAAAAAGGTGCCGGTGCCGGCATGTTTCCCCCCAACTACGCACTTCTCTTGAAGCCTCGTGTGCAGTTATCTTCGGCTTGTTCCTCCTTTGCGCGACATTATTTATTTCCAATTGCCTCAAAGTACGTTACGAATTTGAAATTCCGAGCGTCTTTACCTGCACTCAGGTCACTAGGCGCATCGTGCACGTTGTCTGGCAATCGCCACGGTAATTAGGACCGCATTGAGCTGCATTAGTCAGAATACTCTTCACAATATGATATAATTCACGAACACCAGGGAATAACTTTATTTGCACTCGGTCACACAGCCACAACCTTCTGGGGCTGTTTACACGTACGAGATCGCCTGTCGGAAGAATGCAACACAGCTTGCTGCCCCGCCCGCTGCCATGCAAATCCAGTTGTGTGCATAATATTCAAGCCGCCTGTGGACACATGAACTGTTATTGTATACATTTGTAACACAGTTTTCGCCTGTCTCTCAACCGCCTATCTGCATGTACGTGAAGCCCTACGTCATTGATGTATCAAATGTTTCAGGTTCTGCTAAAGCAGGCACAGCCTGCGCAGTGTGGAAGTCAATATAACTCCAGTACTCAAAAAATTAGTTTTATTATTAGTATTATGGAGCTGCCGCCAAAGGCCTCCAGAGCTCTATGCTGCTGACCCACTGACTGTCTTTATTCATGCAGCCAAATCCAGGCAACATAGTAGTAGTCTAACCAGGGTGTCTGGTATGTATTTGATATATAGTTGTGCAAATAGACCTAGAGACCCCCGGTCATTCGGCTTTTCTAATTAGTGCGAGTTGAGTTGTACTAGCGAAACAAGTTCACGCTTCAACGCCTGATGCTGCACCGCACAACTGCCCAACCAACTATATAATCAAACTGAATTCCCAATGCCCTCCCTTTCACTAAAAGCAGACGATATTAGTCACGCAGCGCACGGGTGAAGACACGCTGACATCAACTGGCCAATTTGAATTGAGGCCGGATAGGAGGAAAGAAAACTAAGGCTTGTAGGGATGGCAATTGAGCAATCACGTCAAGAAGATTTGACAAAAAGAAAAGAGACGCAACGAACAAGCACCGCGCAACCTTCTTCAAGCATGAGGACCTGAGGTATCCCCAATTGATTATATTTGATCTAGAGGGGCCGTTTTTGCTCAGGCTTCTCCGCGCTCTTTAAGTGCATGCGCAAGGGTACTAGCCGCTCCGCAGCCTTGGTTCGCTCTATAAGCTTTGCTTTGACCATTATGACGCCCACAATTGTCCTCCATATCATTAATTTTTCGGCTGCTGTTGCTGGCTGTACTTGCATCATCATTGGTGCTGTTCTGCTGTCCCGTTTGTGGGTTTTTCAAGTATCGCATTAGCAGCTTGGATGCCTCCACACTTAGCCGCGACTTCCGCCTGTCTCGTTGCTTTACAGAGTCCGATACAAAGGAAGTCAGTAAACGGTATTGCTCCTGCAGAGCCTCAATCTGTTCGCCATGGGCAGTGCACACACCGGCACAAGTTACCTACATCAACATCCTTATTCACCCGGCAGCCCAACAATGTAATTTGGACTTTGTGTCCAGTTGCTGCTTTAGCGCTCACTGGCGTACATCGGGACGATAAAGAAGTTACAGCGCTTAAACGAGGATAAAAGTGAAGAGCAAAACCGGGACTTAATGCCATACTTCTACTGCGGTCTCCTTCAGCTTGGCTTCTGTGGCCTGCCAGTCGGCGGAGAGGAGTTCCGAGTTGGCGATGTCTGTCTGGCACTTAACCTTTTCATTTTGAATCTTGCATTCCGTTCTTTCTCGCTTCAGCTGAGCTGCCTTCTCTCGTTGCTTTGATAACTGCTCGTCGAGCTCAGCGAGCTGGGCTGCAGCTTCTGCGTTTCTCTTCTCCTGAAACGCGAGGTTTTCTCTCCAATGCGTGATGAGCTGGGATAGGCAAACCAGTGCCACAAGCTAATCAAATTGAGTATGACAAACACAAGATTGAATCGCCCCCTAAACATCAAAGAACGTGAAGGCGACTGCCTTTCCCTGCATTTTGACTAACGCTCATCTGCTAATTAACCAAGCGAGAAACACGGATGGGCTTGTGAAATGCATACAGTGCCATATCTGTGCTTGTGATCCCGTCTGCTCTATCTCCACTTCTGGAGGAACCGCTGAGTTCAAGCTCCGTCAGTGCTCTAGACCGACCTAACGCTGGTTGTTGTGTTGTGCTAACAACCAGCTATATGGGCATTCTGCTGCATGCTCAGAACACGTGTTTGAGCGAAAACAGATCTCCCTTTTTGTACTTTTTGTGTAGAATGTACTGGTGATGGCGTCTGGGTGGGCCTCTAGGATTTGCTCAATCAAGGCGCACGGCGTGGCTTGGACTTTAGGGTATAGGGTTTAGGATTCGGGACCAAATATTAGGGCTTAAGGTTGAGGGTTTAGGGATAACGGTCGAACACGCAGGGTTCAGGTTTTAAGCTAGTGCACCTGTGCAGACTTTTTGGCGATGTTTTGGAGTTTGAGTGCTTCTTCTTGTCTTTCAACCAGTTTTTCGTTGAGTGTTTGGTTTTCCATTTTGAGCTGTTCAAAGTCCATGGCCTGCAGGGAGTCGCACTCGTCTGCTTGCCAGCGTCCTTTGCATTTGTGCAATTCGACCTTCAGTTCAAGTTCATATTCTGTCCTCAGCAAATCAGCCCTCAGGCGATTCACGATCTGTTGCTCATCCTCCTCAAGCTGCAGTAGCTTCAACACTTGCTGCTCAGAGACAGGTTTTCCTCCCTTTTGCATCACTGCATTCTTCGCCACTTGCAGCACAAATTCCCTTAATTCCAAAAGGCAAACAAGGCAACGACAGCGGTGTTTCTGTGGGATGTCTACATTGGCGACAGAGCATCATCGTGAATCTTAGGCCCTGAAGTAAGCAAAGTGCTGAAACATATTTCTGTGTCATCATCCACCCCTTACCCAAAGGCTCGTTTGCATTCCATAACTTTTGCGGTCTGCTGTTCTTCTTGCTCTTCTTTCCGCTGCAGCAACGTGTTGAGAGTTTGAGTCATCGCCTGCAATTGTTTGTCGAGTTTTGAAGCCTGCATCAGAGCGTCGTCGTATCCTTCCCGTGTGATTGTAGGCTGAACATCTATGTCTTCTTGTTGGCCTAGGGTTGCCAACTGGACTGGGCTGTTTGACCTTAGCAAGTTTTCTTGCCTTGCTTGGCCCGCTACAATGCTGGCAAGACGGGTCATAACCTTCATGTTTGCCTCCTCCGCGTCCTCGAGTTGCTGCTGAGCGCACTCCAGCTCTTCCTGCAAGGAGGCAGCCAACTGACTCTGCTGTTGCACCTCTTCTGTCAAAGCCCTAATGGCGATTGCCAAAGGGTCCTCCCTCTGAGGGACAACACGCGAACCCATCCATAACATTGAATCGAAACTCTGCATGCATGTTTGCTGCCTTCTTTGTGGAGAAACGACGGCACGCTAGAAACCAGAACAAACCAAGACATACAGGGAGAAGCTATTTACGAGGACAGATCGAAATGAACTCGCAAAGGCGGTCTATGAAGGAAGAGGGTGGCCGCTGGTATATAGACATGCGATGCACTCCGAAGGCGACTACAGTTTAAGACTCATGCTCCGGAATTTTCTGCTTTGTTGCAACCCAAGCTGCAGTTTTTCTGCAATCATTTCCAACTACACAACCTCCTAGAAGTTGGCCAGACTTAAGGCACTCAGCCGTTTTTTTAGTATACTTTTATTTCTCTTCGCTTCTTGTACAACCAAAATCAGGGGGGCAAGAAGCTCACAGCTGAAGTTCCAGCAGAGCTGCTGGGGGAGTCTGTGTGTTGCATTGTCTTCGGCTTCCCTGTATCTGTGTCTGTTTTCGGTGAGCGTGGGGTCCTTTGGCTGTCTGGCTTTGCTTCGGCGGCACTTCCTTGTTCTGGAGCAGCTGTTTGTTGCTCCACTGCCAGCTTGTCAATTTCGTGTTTATTCCCGCGAGAACCCTGGGTAGTCAGCTCAGCACCTGCTGCTTCAGATGTTGCCGCTTGTTGCTGCAAATGGGTCTTTTGAAGGTCTGCATTGTTCAGTTCTGTCGTTTCACGAGAAGCATCAGTTCCATTCATTTTCTCTCCTTCGTTCGGTCCTTCTGGCTGTTGGTTCTTCTCATATTTCCCCTCGGGGTGCATTTCTTGGTCTTTTGTTTCATTACGGCTTTGTTGTTCCTTTAGTCCCTCCCCCTCGGTCATTGTTTGTTCTTGATCTACCGCCGCTTTCTCTGCTTCCCGTGGCACCTCAGTTGCAGCGGCAGCACGGGATTTCGCAGTGTCTTGTGTTTGATTGCCGTCTCCGCTTCCCTGTGCAGTATTAGCTTCTTCCTTCTGCTCAAGCTGCTGATTCTCCACCTCTTTAGCTCCTGTCGAGGGCGCTGCCGCCTCCTCTGTTTTCCCAACAGTTGCTGCAAGAACACTAACAAAACTATTAGTAGTGCTTGATGCGGCCTACAGGTAGGAGCACGACAAAGTATGTGATCTAAAACGCCATTGTTGTAACGTATTTTCATGGCCAACAGTAGGAATCGCAGACTGGAGTCGCTTCTCGTCTGTTTGCCGTTTGTCTAGAGGCTATCGTCCACTCAAAACATTGTTTATATAAGACATATGGCCTTCTTCCTACCTTCTACCCAACTTCGTATTTGTTGCTCAAGTGCTGCATTTCCCGAACTAGCAGCGAGCTGCATGCAGTTGAGTCCTTGTGCGTTTGGCTTGCACAGCAACTCCTTTGCTGCTGCTGCTGTTGCTGCTGCTGCATCGGTGCTGCAGCAGACGCTGAAGAAGGCCTCCCATAAAAGGTGCTGCTCCAGTGCTTCCTCAGCAGGCTGTGCGGCTGCTAAGTGCATGCAGCTCTCGCCGCGGCTATTGGTTGCAGCCCAAGGCATTATGCCGGCCCGTACCAACTCCGCCGCCTGCTCCCCAGCACACCGCATGTGGCTTTCAACCATAGACTCCTAATGCTAAACCATGAACCGCATATTGTCAGTTCCAGGATATAAGGCAAAGCAGAAAAGAGATGAAATGGAGGATAACAAAGCGTGGGATAGTAACAGCTGCTGCATCGCAGCCATTCTTTTGCTGAACTTGGAAATAAACAATGGGAAATGAAAACGATCGAAAAGGCAAGAAGGGGTAAACAAAACCGATTGAAATAAATAATTTAGGCTAAATCAAAGAATGAATTTCTTTAAATCAAGTTTAGTTGACAAAATGTGCAAAATGGGTCCCAACCTGCTCATAGTGGTGTCTTAGAACAGCGGAAGTCAATGCCGTCTGGCCGTCGTCATCAACAGCTGTTTGCTCCGCCCCCGTACGCAACAGCAGACCGATAGCTTCACCCCGAGCGGTGAATAGCGGCGTCTGCCCCTTTGCTTCTGAAGACCGCAGACAAATAAACCCAAAAACGATGCATGCCTATAAACGTGTGCAACTCGACAACTCCCGAGTCTTGAGAAAAAGGAAATAAGCGATGAAGCCGAGCGAAAAGCCACGCAATCAGCGCAACTACGTTTACCCTTGAATTCCGGCTTTATAACTAAATCCCTCAAACCCGAAATACCTAGAATGTGCAACCCTAAACTCTAAACCCAAACCGACAAACCCTAAACCCTTTTCAAGCCCTTATTGGCCCACTCTGAACCATGAAATACAGGCCTTAATCCCCCTTGTTTGACACTCGACTCCAAACCCCAACACCAACACTAAACCCAAGTCCCTATTCGTGGACGTCAAATGCTACATTCTCAACCATAGGCTCCACGCATTAATGCCTGCCTGTGGATCTGAGGTTGGGATCACAGCGGAATTCTTCCAGAAGGAGCTGCAATATGCGGGGGCTGTAGAAAGCAGCGTGCGCCACGAGCGATGTGAAAGGCTGCACCTCCACCTCCAGACTTTCACTTTCTGTGGCCAGCTGTCTCAATAGCTGCACATGTAAGACGGGGAAAATGTTCAGAAGCACACCGAGGAACTTTGTACGTGCTAAATGTGTTCAGGTGCACCTTCTCTGGAGTCCCAAACACGCAAAAAGAAAGTATGGTGCGCCCATGTATGCTGAGTGTTTCCTTCGAATATTTCAGGGTGTTGTTATCTTTGAAGCATCATGGCATGCAAGCGCCATTCTTTCCGGCTGCAATGAACAAAGTGTGACTCGTGTTCGTTTACTTCCTCCGCCTCAGGCTCTTGTTGCTTTTCAATTGACACAAACAACTTAGTCCATTTCTCCGCTAGAGGGTTGCCTGCCATTATCAGAGTGGCAGTGCGACTCCCGGTATCTGCTGTTTGTTGTTCTTCTTGCGTCATCTTGTCGATTTTGAAGAGTGCATTAACATACACTCGAGCGGAAAGATAGACGGGTTTACTGCTGGGTATGTTGCTGTCAGCACAGCCGCACTGCTGATTAAACAATGCTTGGTAGGGGCACAGAACCCTGTAGGCGCTGCGTGCGTTCAATTATTTGGATCGAAACTGTCAACTTAAGGGCTTTGCTGGCTATGCATTCGTACCTCGACCTGTAATGCAGTAGGGCAACGACTTGAGATCTCCCTTCCCCCTATCCTGGGTAATTGGGAGACAAATTCTAATAGTGATTACTGTTTTACATAATAATAATAATGATAGTGAGTACTATTATTAACCGTATTCGTTCGCCGTCAAAGCATAGAGCACGTGCTTAGCGGGAATCGAGGGTGGCGTGCTGATAAGTAATATGAATGGTGGAATGAATGCCCATTATTTATCCATCGGAATAAAGTTACTTCACTGTTTTATTAAATTCATTTTTTTCTGTCTTGTGGATAAATCCTTGAACTTTAGGGGCTGCATACAGCGCCGTGCATGCAGCAGCTAGCGTTTTCAGCACGAGCTCTCCGCTTTTCGGGGCGGAGCAGGGTGCTTCCTGCAGATGCAGGCTTGTGTGCAGTGATAATTTGCGAAATATCAAATTTACTTAGTCAAAGAAACTCCAAAGTTATTTTAGTTTAACACTCGGAAGCCGAAGTTGATGAAGTCGCCGCTGCCGACTGCCGCAGACATATGGCGCATGCATCGCCGCGGGGGCTGGAAAATGAAGAGCCTGACGGAGTAGTTTTCGCTCATGCTCGTTCCAATCCTGTTATTTCTTTGACTCGATAATTTAATTCGCTTCTATCATTTTTGAATCCTGAGGAATCGATGGGTAGTGCGGCTTCGCCTTTTGCCCACATCCCGACACACCTCTCGCTTCAGGACGGCCGCCGAAGGACACAACAGTAAAGTCAACCGGACGCCAGTTCTTATAACAATGTAAACAGGCGACTTATGGATATCCGGTATTAGAGTTATCGCATGAAGTGCAACTCTGAAGTGTACAGGCGCCGATCCCGACACGGGATGCGCTGCAGCGCTGGGCCACAATATACACGGAAAATATCACACCAGATCATTATAAAATAACTCCTTTTGTTCCGTTTTGTTTCAAAAGAAGCAATTTACCATGGCAATCGTACTCAGGGTCACGAAACTCCCAGCAGCATCCTTGGCCTTCACTAATCTGGTGTGACGAGCATATGCCTTTTTGCTTATGCGCAACCCTGCATGCATTTCTTCATGCACACAAATCGTTGGATCTTTTAGTATTCATAAACATGCATGCACCCGCATTCACACGTACTTCCGCACATGTATGTGTGTACTCAAACATTCAGGCAAATACGTGCACACTATATTCTTGTATATATGTATACACGTATTTACGTCTGCATATGACCATCTTCACATAGTCATACCTGCAAAGTACCTAGAGTATAGATAAAGTCACTGTCAACAGTACACAGCAACTAAGTGCCCAATTGGGGGCGTCCTGTTTGAGACTGTTCTCTTGTTTTCCTGTCTGTTTTGTCCTTGATTTGCTTCCTGCTGTAGTTTCTCTTTGAATTGTTTGCTGCAGTCTTACGTCCATCCTAAAGTCTATGCGGAACTCGTCGCGCACAGCGAGGGGGGGCGGCAGCACAGTGTACAGACAGCCTGTCCTGTGCACTGTCATGTGGGCTGCATTATCTTGGGGGTAATGTGAGTTTAGCAGGCATATTTTTTGCATTTTGCTTTATGACAAACGCTGTTCAGTTTCTCGTGGTGCGCAACTGAGGTGGGGATGATGTGTAAGTTGAGCTGGGGTGTGTGCATGACTGCCGCGTATTGCTAGCTTGCGTGATTGTTGCGGATATTTGATGATATATTTGTCTATTAATTGGCTTCTGTAACTGCAGGCCTGAGCCGATGGTGCAGAAGGAAGAAATTGGCCTCAGCATTTGCCACAGAGAAAGCACGCGACTGCAATTAGGGGACGCAGTTCATCTACGCGTGCTGATGCTTCCACAGCCAAAACCTGTCGTGGGTTTAATGCAGTTGGAAGTTTCCACCTACGTCCGGCCAAGTAAGAAGGACCCTCTTTGGTGCTTCAGTTGCTGTGCTGTTGCGTTTCCTTCTTGCGTCTTTGTTGGCGCTGGAGCCGTCAACCTTCTTTGTCTGTTTCCGTCATGCTCGGGCGTTGGTTGCGGTGCTCTTGGACTGTTTCTATCTTTTCCCGTGGTTTTTCCTCCTCCTGTTTCCCCTTTTTGCCGCTTTTCGCTCCGTATTTCTGTAAGTGACTCCTTAAGGAGTTGGATTGTTTCCTTCTGTCGCCCTCTTGCTCCTTGTCTTTTCATTGCTGTATTTGCCATTGTTGCCTGGTCATCGCTGTTTCTGTTAGCGATGCTATTGTGTGTTCAGCGTGGTTTATTTTTATGTTGTCTGTTGATTGCCTTTTCTGTGTCTTTTGAATGTTTAATACTGTTCTGATTTATGATGCTCCTCCGTGTAGTCTCTTCAATGCTTGTGCTTCCCTCTCTCGCAATATCGACGGAAGGGTCTGGAGGTTTCTCACAGTATATTGTTTGTTGTGTCCGCACTCTGTTTCGGTTTGTCTGTCCCGCGCATGCACAATGGATTGGATTTATCCTCCCCTGTTTCTTGCTTTCTTGTCTTTTTTGTTTGTTTGATTGCTTGTTTCCCAAGCGCTTTTTGGTTCAGTTCCATCTTGGTGCAGGGATGCGCCTGTTTGGCTGTCTTTGTATGCTCATTTCTTTCCTCCTAATTTTCCCTTGTTTTGTTGTTTTCCCCCTTTGGTTTTGTTTCAGTGGAACGCATTTGTATTAAAGATGAAACTCTTGAACTCGATATTCGCGAAGCCTTCACCGGCCAGTATTTCTCCGTGGGGCAGTCTGTTGCCCGCCGACATGGAAAGGAGACCCTTAAGCTCACGTGGGCACTAAACACACAAATTTATGACCTTACTAACTCTCTTGTGAACAATTAATTAGTAAATGCTAGTTCATGCGGGGCAATCGAACTGTGAACGAACGCCGGAAGTAAGACGTGAGCAACAGCCGCGCATAGGACAAAAGCTGCTAAATTAGTTGCCACTTACACATTCTACTTTGATGGGCTAAGCGGCAGCTGCAAGCTGTGATGCAATATAAAATGAGAAGATACAGGAAAACACTATGTAGAACATATCCGTAATAGTTTCTTCCGTCCACATGTTTCTTTGTTTGCTGCCGTCTAATTTGTCTACTGAAATACAACATTTAGGCTTTGTGCCGTGTCTCCTCGATGCATCTTCAAGGCATCTGCTCATGCCCATTTAATTGTGTTTTATTCTTTTCTTAACCTTCGCCTTCGCATTGTTTTCCCTTGCCTTCGTTCACTCCATCTCTTTCATCTTCTGTTTTGTTGCTGCAGTGTGGTGCAAATGGTCCCTGTGGAGACAGCGGGCGACAAACGCGCGGGTACGTTGCTTCTGCCCCACCCATGCAAATCCCTATGCCTAGATAGCTGGCATGCCAACCATAAAGTCAGGTTACAGCTAGTTGGAAAACAGTTCACAGCTATGGAGCAGACCAACTCATCCAGCTAGCTACTTTTCCGGTTGCGTAGCCCATTGCTTAGTTATTTGACTGGCTGGCTAGCTGGATAGCAAGTCAGTTAGCTAAATAGCAAACCCTTCTATATGTGTGATGCATGACCGTCGGGTGTTTGTAAAGTTGATGATCCCGGGATTCTGTGCTCTTTGTATTGTTCTGGTGGTTTAGTGTTTATGTGACTTGCAGCGCCCGTCAGTCCGTTTGCGGAGCTGACGGCTCAGACGGAATTGTTGTTTTCCAGCGAGTCCGATTGTCGGGTGCACGTACAGTCGCGAAAGGTGTTGCCATCTCCGTTGGTTTCTCCCGATTTTTCCTTTCAAAAGTTGGGCATAGGGGGTCTAGATAAGCAGTTTTCGGAGATTTTTCGACGTGCCTTTTCGAGCCGAGTGTTCCCTCCTCATTTGGTCGAGGAGTTGGGGCTGAAGCACGTGAAGGGGCTGCTACTCTACGGGCCCCCTGGCACAGGAAAGACGCTGATAGCACGGCAAATCGGGAAGGCGCTCAAGGCGCGAGAGCCCAAGGTTGTTAACGGCCCTGAAATTCTTAATAAGTACGTGGGACAGTCGGAAGAGAATGTGCGGGCGCTGTTTAAGGAGGCAGAGGAGGAAGAACGCAAGCGAGGGGCGGAGTCGGGCTTGCACATAATTATATTTGACGAACTCGACGCGATCTGCAAGCAAAGAGGTTCGAACCCTGGCGGGGCAGGGGTGACGGATTCCGTCGTGAATCAGCTTTTGTCAAAGATAGACGGCGTGAACGCCCTAAACAATATCTTGCTGATTGGCATGACCAACCGACTCGATTTGATTGACGAGGCGTTGCTGAGGCCGGGGCGCTTCGAAGTGCTCATTGAAATCGGCCTCCCTGACGAGAAGGGGCGGCTGCAGATCCTCACAATTCACACACAGGCGATGCAGCAGGCTCAACGGCTGGACCCCTCTGTGGACTTGGTCTTGTTAGCAGAGATTACGCGCAATTTCTCTGGCGCAGAGCTAGAGGGCCTTGTGCGTTCTGCTGCATCATTTGCGTTTCAACGCTCCGTTGACATGAAAGACCTTTCGAAGGCAGCAGACGCCTCAGCCATCCGCATCACCATGCAGGACTTCGAAGCAGCTCTGGAGGAGGTGCGGCCTGCCTTCGGGTCTCACGAAGAGAGCCTCTCCCGGTGCATACAAAACGGAATCATATGCTTCAGTAACAACTGCAAACGCCTGCAGCAAACCTGCTTGACGCTGGGGGCGCAAGCTAGGGACAGCTCCCACACACAGGTGCTCTCGGTCCTGCTGCAGGGGGTCCCAGGAAGCGGCAAGACGGCCTTAGCCGCCTCGGTAGCCAAGCTTTTGTCTTTTCCCTTCACCAAACTTGTGTCAGCAGAAAGCTGGGTTGGTCTGCCCGAGAATGCTAGAGTCAATCTGCTGCAAAAGGCATTTCAAGATGCCTACAAATCAAACCTCTCACTGGTGCTACTCGACGACCTCGAACGACTCGTCGACTTTACACCCATCGGCCCCAGGCAATAACCATACACCAACTTGCTGGTGTTGCTGATGATTATGCGTATTGTGATATTGATGCAGTTGTTTCTGGTGTTTCTGTTTTGCTGCTTTTGTTGTTTGTATTTGATTGTTGCTGCGTTGTTGATGGTATTGTTAATAGTTACCTCCACTCGGTTACTGTTGCTGTTGCTCCTCCTGGTGTTGCTGCTTCTGATACAGCTCCTTGACTGCTTAGCTGAACGTCGTTTGTGTTGTGTTGTGTTGGGTTGTCTCTAGATTTTCGAATCCTGCGCTGCAGGCGCTGTTGGTGTTGGCGAAGAAGCAGCCGCCGAGGGATGGGGCCAAGCTTTTGGTCATCGGCACAACCTCAGAGGCGGACTTTATTCGAGTTAGTTTTCAGTATTATCCCTTCTCCGTCTTCATGGCCTTTTTCTTTTGCATACTTCCTTGCTTTATCTTTCTTTTTATCCCCTTTCTTGTATCCCTTTTCCTTTTTCTCTCCGTATTCGTCCTATTCTACTTCTGTCTTCCATATGACAACCACTTCTGTGTTGTTGCATATCTCCTCAAGTATCGCCATCGTCGAAGCTGTAAAGATAGCAGACGAGTCACGTCACGACACACCAAAACCTCAATAAAATGCAATAATCAAGGTACATGCGGGTGAACGTGTTGGTACTTCCACGGAGAAAACGGAGCATCGCTGAACACCTACATGCCAAACAAGATGCTTGCTCTTTCGCGTTTTGTCTTGGTGATCGACTCAGGAGGCAGGTATTGCTAAGGCATTCAACGTATGTTTAGATGTACCCCCTGTAAGGGGCTCAGAAGAGATCGCCGCCGCCTTGAGAGAACTCAGCGCAGACCGTTATCTCTTCCGCGAAGATGAAATCATGCAGGTGTGCAGACACAGCAAGCGCCTGGCACTACTTGCTGTCCGCATCATTAAAAGCTGAACTCCATAAAAGTATAAATTTCCACGGGGCAAACCAGTTACGAAATAGATGCAACATAAGACACTATTCCCTTTCACATCTAGGGTTTAGAGCTTTGGGTTTAGGGTTAAGTTCTTGGAGCGGTGCAGGTTTGTGAGTCGGGGGTCTTGGAGACGATCCCAATCAAACAGCTCATCATGGTCACGGAGATGGCGGCAGAGAAGTGCAAACCAGGTAAGACCAGCAAATAATAAATTATTTGTGCGGTTGGATATGCTGTTTGCGCTTTTTGGCTCCTCAACCAAAATGCACGTGCTTGCGAGTATCTGCGTAGTTCGTTCCCACCGCATCCTGTCATTAGTTTCGTTGTGTCTTTTGTTTGTGTGAGCCTAATTGTATATTTTATCTACTGTGTTTATTGCCCTTATTTTGTTTATTGTGTGGTTTGGGTTATTCGGTCGTGGTTGTACTAGGGTGTTTGTAAGCCGAGTTGATTGTTTTTTGGCTAAATGTGTGATCGTTGCTTTCTGCATGGTCTCCGTTGCTGCCGTCTGCTGCTGCTGCCTTTAGTCTTGTGCTGACATATTATGGGAGTTTCCTTCTGTCTATTGGGGTTTTGTTTGTTGTGCTGTTTCTCGCCTGGTGCTTTCTGTTAATTTATTCTATGAGGACTACCTTGGGAACCTCTTCCCATTTATGCCTTTATGTATGTGCTTTCGTGCATGTTGCTTTCCTTTTCTCCATTTGGTTATTTATCTCTTATTTCTTCTTTTATTCACTGATACGTATGTGCATTTTTCTTGCTTATGTCCTACAGAGCCAATAAAAGCGGACACCTTCATCAGCTGCTTGAGGGACTGCGGACTCGACAACTTCTCTCGGTTGTTTTGATTCTTCAGAAAACTAAACCAACGGGTCATTCTTAGGAAGAATAGACGCAATAAATATATAAGAAATGCATTGAACATAGTTAAGAACTATAGTACAAATTAAAATACTGGTCCTGCTAGCCTTCGATAGGCATCAGGTGTTTTGGGCTTTTGTTTTGGTTGTTGTCGACAATAATCCTTTTTTTAGCAACTCATTAAGTGATCCCCTATGATTCCTATGACTGCTGTCACCCGTCTTACTATGATTTTTTCGCAGCACTATTGCTAATACCGTTCACTGTTTACGAATGCCTGGCTCATAAATAACGAACGTTCCATCCCAGTGTTGTGGTGTTTGGACTTCAAATCCATTAGTATTTCGTGTGTTTAGCCATATTGCAGCTATAGGTCAAAGTCGTTGCTAGTGCTCATGCTTCTTCCATGTCTTTGTGCGTCACTGAGGAGAGGCGATGAACCTTCAGTGGTGGTAGCACAAATTAACAAACAGATGGAGGCGATGAAACCCAAAATTGCATACCAGAAACACGCATTAATGCATGCCTGCATGCACGTGAGCATGAAAGCCTGGTGGAGTTTGTACAGTAAATGAGGAAATTTTGTATGATCTTCATCTATATCACGGGCGTGTTCATGTAATGAGATTGGGCTGTTGTTTTATCTATTTATTGCTGCGTACTTGAGCCTTTTCATCAAATGTACAATGTTTTATGATATGTATGATTGGTATATCAGCCACCGTGTACAGGATGCTCGAATATTTGAGCTCCCCAGGAGGACGAGCGAGGTAAAGCGGGGTTGGCGTTGGTGCAAGATGCAGCAAGTCTATGGTGAGGACACCTTAAACTGCCATTAGTATTCAATAATTTACTATTGGCTTGAAATGCTGATTTCTGTTTCCTAGTTCAACTGTAACTTCGTTGTGGGGGGAGGAAGGAGGCTGCATGCCTGTTGGTTGCATCGGCTAAGGTACTGTGAGGAATATAGGGGCTGCATAAGCTGCGAATTTCCTCCTTTCCACAATTTTTTTGATTAACACAACCAATTATTAAACTGGTGGATTTACTTTTTAATTTGGTCGCCACAAGGCAACGCAACACACGACTGTGTGCAGAGCCAACCACCCGGTGGTGAGTGACCTGAGGGAACGGGGAAGGAAAACTGCCAATATTCATCGTAAATCGGAGCTCTCAAAGGTAAAGAATTAAAGTTTGTATCCTTTTCATTTGCTGTAAAATAAAAGGGCAAACAGAAGAGAAAGTGAGGGAAGCAATTCAAATACTTTCCGTCCGCCAGCACAACTCAAAACCTGCTGCCGCCGACCATTTCGAACGGAACCTCTCCTCGAAGTTTCCCTACCATTTACCCCTCCCAAACCATTTAATCGATTTAAAAATATTCATTCGACTCCAGTTGTACACGGATTTCTGCGGGGTGCATGAAGTGTGCGAACCAACGGCCTTTGGAGCCGTAGCACCATTGCCACTAGGTGTCTGCAGCATCTGTTGATGCTCCACCTAAAATGCAGAAGCACAATAATTTTACTTAGTCTCGCTTTCAAACTTAAGTGACGAAAAGATGCCCAACTAATTATTAGAAGACTATTCTCTAACAACGCTGCGAATGCAAGGTCCCTTGACCCATTTTCCCCCTACTGCATCGTGTTTAAGCTTAATCACTCTTTAGCATTGTTAAACAATTGCTTCAATTTCTGCAGTGTTCTGAAAAATGAAGAATGCAATTTACGCTGAATCCTCAAGGTACGAAGAGAGAACAACACCGTTTGCGGGTTATCAGGGGAAAGTTAAAAACAAAAAAGAGAAAACGGTGGCAACGCTATTGACAGCAAAGACAGACGCAAACGCACAATCATATAGTCACGCTTCTGCCTTTCCGTTTGCTGTTGCTGCTTCTCGTAGGGCCCCGACAGCTCCTAGTGTTCAGAGGCTGCGCAGGTATTCTGATTAGTTTCGATATTCTATTGAAGGGATCGTTGGTTATTTTTGTCAAGTGATGCAACTCTTCCTTTGCCGATGCCACTTATGCCCATTATTGATTTACCTAACAGAAACCCACATCAATTCCGTTTACACTACATACATATGTAGTTATGGACGCTTAAGCATACATTATGAAATTACATATGTGATCCACGGACATGCGTGTGCTTACGCCCATGGTGCATGCACTGGAAGACGACAACAAATTCATGCGCATGCAGAGAAATGCTATTAGACGATAAATCCTCTAGCTTGCGCGCTGTTTAATTCCATTTTATGTTGAGATCCAGCATGTTTAGTGATACCTTCCAGTGGGTAATTTCGGTAGTGCTGTTTCAACTGCTTGTCATTTTGTTTTACAGTCCCTCTTCGTTGTCGAAACTGCGAGGCCTCACCAGCGCTCAAACAGGTACGTTTCTCTCTTTTGCCTGTTTTTCAATATAAATAGTGAAGTGGTAGTGCAACGCGAGAGCGCAACGAGATTAAGCACAAACAGCACCCCCAACGACTCAACCCAAGCGAAGCCAGCGGCTTGTTTGCTTTTCATTACAGAGTGCCTAAGGACGATTGAAAACATAGATAGAGAACAAAAGGAAGCCAGAAGAAGGCTGCAGGTATACTCTTATGAATATATATTAAGTTATATGCACACATCCAGTTATAAGCATGAAATATTGCATTTGTTGGATATATATACGTTACCTTTGGTTTGTCTGCAAAGACGCAGACATCCGCTGCTCTCTTCTCTGTTTTGCCCTCAAGGTGGAGTTCCGCCGTTTGTTGATTTCTTACCTCCGAGAAAACCGGAAATGTGTAAATTATTTCCTAGACACGTAAGTTGGGTTGTGCATACACAGCAGCACCTGCGCATACATTGCACTGTTTGGGCTTGCGCGTGCAGCGACTACCCACAAGTTCGACCTAGCACTGCTATTATAAGGAGCTGAATAGTAATACACAAGTGATGCGGAAGCATGAGGTAATAATGAGCAAGTGTCTGTACACTTGAAGCAGGAAGTGCGGGTGGAAAATGTTGCAGGCCCCCCGGCAAGAGACTATTTCACGAGCACACAAACAGCTATCTGCACCTCAACCCAGGTTCGTCTCTCCTGCATTATTCGTGTTCGTGCAACCAGAAGCAGGCAGAAACTCTGGCCTCACCTACACTCGAACCTCCTGCATGAAGGCGGTTGTATATGCCTCCTTTTCCTTTTTCCCGTCCCAGTACAGAATCAGAGTCAGGGGTGCTTAGAGAGCTGGAACTTGGTTGTATTCTCTGGTGTCTGAATATACATACGAGTGCAGGTCTGGAGGTGGAGAGAGCAGAGGCAGAAGCGAGACAAGATTTTGCAAAAACCAACGAAAACCTCCTGAGGAGAAAGCTGCAATTTGTTTTTCAAGAAATAAACAGCGCCTACCAGCTTAAGTTTACTGTCAGATACACAGCCCTTCACTCTGATCTTCGTTGCGTTTACGGTTTACGGTTTTAGGAGAGGTATAGAGTACACGTTAGTTTGTCGCTACTCGTTTTGTCATCGGGAGTGATATGTCTTCGTATTGCTGTCTAATGCATCTTTTTGGTGTCCGTTCCTTATGTTTGGTTGTGTTTCTCTACTTCCCCATTCACTTGATGCCGCTCATGCTTGCGCTACTTCTCCCAATCAACATGCTTTGTGCTCTGTAAACCCCCGACAATGTCCTTGCAAACACTTCTGGATGGGATAGCTAGCCTCATTGCTATCCAGCTATCCACGTTTTTATCTAGCTAGCCACCTAGCTAGCCAGCAAAACCAACTCTACGGAGCTAGTGTATCTTCACCGCTTGGCAAGTTAGCTGTAGTTAGGGACACACCTGGCCAGCTCTAGGCTAGGGATCACGATCACTAGCTCTATGACTAGGTAGACAGCCATCTGGCTTGACAATTTGCTAGCGGCGTGGTTAGCTGGCAAGGTAGTGCCGTTGACTGTATGACCAGGTGGATAGCTAGTTGGTTTGGTGTCTCTCTGGGTGTCTGTCCTGCAGCTTCAGCGACTGAACGTTCTACAGGAACTGTGCAGGTGAGGGGACCCAACAAAATCTGCCTGCATACAGCAGTCTGCTTGTAGTAGAGAGAGCAGCACCAAATGTGGTTACAGCTGAGCATTCATACACACAAATCCAGGACAGACACTATATATAGGTTGTTGTGTGGGTGCACGCACAGACTGGAGAGTCGTTTCAGAGCTATTGAAGGAGAACTGCCTGCGGTGTGTGGAACTACAAAACATCGAACATTTCACGTTTGTGTCTGGCTGCTGCAGCTGCAGCAGAAGCACCAGCAGACACAACCAGAGACACCATATATACTCCTCTGAACTGCATTTTGTTGCTGCTGGAATCCTTATTTGCTGCTGTTTTCATGCGCTTTTGCGCACCGTTCCGTGTTTCTATAAATCTAATTGCCTATATGTGTTTCTGCGAGTGTGTTATTGTCTCTCTCTGTCAATCTCCATTTGCCACAATGAGTCTTTCCATCTCCTATTCCTATTCACTTCTTGTTTGCCTTCACTCCACCTCGTCGCTGTAAGGGTAGCAGCAGCATCAGCAGCAGCAGCAGCAACACGGAAGCGTGCCGAAAGGAGATACCAATAAATAGGAGACAGTTTGATATGCTTCAGGATGCCCGCAATGAGTTTGAGATAGGGTGTTGGAATAAACTGAAACAAACAAACTGGTTAGCCCCAACAAAACAAACTTGCATTCTGCTGCTTATATTTGTCTCCTTTCTCTCTTCCTTTTGCTGCCCATCATTCTTTCTGTCTCTCTTTGCCTCTGCCTGCCTCCCTCTCCGTCTTGGTGTCGCTGTACTTCTGTCTATCACCGCCTCTCTTTGTCTTTCTCTGGGTTTTGTCTGTGTCGATTTCTCTCCCCTGTTATTGTGTCTTTATCGCTCGTCTTCGTCTCTTCGGCTGTCTGTCTGACTGCTGCTGACTGCTGCTGTCTTCTTCCGTCTCCTTTTTCTCTCTGTCATCTAGGTTTTGTATATCTTTCTGTCTCTGTCGTCTGTCTATCCGGTGCCACATGCCCCTCCGCGTTTGCTTGTCTCTTTTTCTTCGTGGGAACTTCTGGTGTACATACACGAAGCAAACGAGCCGCAGCGGCTTCTTAAGCTGATGGGGTGTGCTCCGCAGGTATGCCTCCCTTGAGGCTTTGCTGCCCTCATCGGCCAGCAGTTCTAGTCACTTACAGGACCCGAAACAAATGGACTGGGCCTTGACAGCAGCAGCAGGTGGAGCAGCAGCGGATGCTGCAGCAGCAGGTGCATCAGCAGCTACAGCAACAGCAGCACCGGCGCTCCCTCGTCTCCCCGGCAGCTGCAACGACGGGATTCCAGAAGCCCCCCGTACAGATCAGCAAGGCGCTCCTGTTGCAGGTCCGGATGCCCCTGCTCAGGTGTCTAGGCACCTATTCAAGTTGTGGGGTTGTTGCACAAATCCGAAGAGCAACAGTATGCAAGAAGCGGCTGACGGTACCATGGATTTGCCTTCTTTCCCTTCTCCAGAGCGCACACCAGCAGCACCAGCAGCACAAGCACCAGCACCCGAAGAAGCAATAGCAGACGAGGCAACGGTTCCTGAAATAGAAGCAGCTGTAGAACCTGCAGCAGCAGGAGATGCTGCGACAGCAAGGGGTTGTCTTGGCAGCTGGACTTTGAAGCAAGAAGAGCCGAAGCCTCTTGTAAGATCGGAAAGGGGAAAGGCCCTAAGGAAACAGGGCAACACCGGTAAAAACTGCTGCAGCTCTTCTTGCTGCATCACCAGCACCTGCAGTAGCAGCAGCACGGGCAACGGAGGTAGCAACGTCTCTCCACATACGTCAAATGCAGCCACAGCCGATAGGAGAAACGATGGAGACAGAAAAGAACAGGAAACCGACATAGAAAAAGAAGCAATCTGCAACAGCAACAGGAGCAACAGTAACAGCAACAGCAGCAACATTAACAGGAACAGCAGCAACAGTAACAGCAGCAGCAGCAACAGCGGGGTCACAGCCGCGCCTCGGGGGCGGTATGTGGTGAATGGGAGAGGGCGTCTAACAGCAAACAGGCAGCAGGTGCTGCAGAGACAATGCAAAGTTGAAAAGGAAAGAGGAAGAGAAGGTGAGTACAAACATACCGCAGAAAGAAAGGCCGGGGCAAACGGCTGTACACATAGTTCGCCTGTGCATGCAAACACAGATGGCAGACGTTCAAAGGCAAGAGCACACGATGTGCATGCGCTGCGGTTAAAACTGCTAGACATAAAGAGTTATGACAGATATAAAGACACAGAAGCAACAGAGAGGCCAATTAATCAGAACAGCTTGAGAGACAAAAATAACAGCTGCACACACCAGAAAAGATAGAAAATAATAAGCTGCAAGAGACAGAGATGCAGCAGCAGCAACCAAAAGCAAACTAAGAAAACAGGAAGCTCAAGACGATTACAATAACATTACCATGCAAACAAATGCAGAGCAAGAAAAACATACAGCGAGACTGCAGACACAAAGCAGCAGGTCCAGCAGCAGCAGCCGGAAGCTTGCCGCCTTGCATTGTGCTCAATTGCGCGCAGCAACAGCACCAGAAGAAACAGCAGCAGAAGCACCGGCAGAATCTGTGGGGTGGAAGCAGCAAGCAACCAGTGCAGGTAGCAAAGAAGCTCAAGCGCCGCGGCATGCAAATGTGTCTGCTGGACTGCAGCAAAGTGACAACAGCGCCAAGCAGCCTCAGAGACTTCCAACTCCTTTGTCCCTGAGAGAGCCTCATGCTGCTGCAACGCAGCCTGCTGCTGCTCACGGTGCAAGCACACCATCATCCTTCCAATCTACCCTGCAAACAACACCACGGAATCGGCAGCACCTCCAGCAGCTACGGGAGGAGGAGGAGGAGCGACAGCAGCAGCAGCGCATCGCCTCGCCTCCTCCCCTCACTCTTCCTAAACCCCCCCTACATCCACCAGAACTGCATCACAGACTATCACCTGGGCAGCAGCACCAGCAACGGCAGCAGCCCCAGAAACCGCTGCAGCCCCAGCAACCGCAGCACCTACAAGTGACGCCGCGCCCTTGGCCTGTGCATAATGAGGGGCTCTCTGCTCCGGTGGATTTGCGTGGCAATGCCCCCTTAATCTTCATGACTGATATGCAGCAACATAAACAGCACCAGCCGCTTGTGTTTGCTGCAAGTGATATTCAGCACCACACGTGCCCAACCATCGCGCGAGTGCTTCTGCCAAGCCCCAGGACGCCACTGTTGGTGCTGCCGCAGTCCACAGCGGTTCCTCAACAAGTGCAGCAGCAGCAACGGCTACAGCAGGAACAACTACAGCAACAGCTACACCTCCACCAGCAGCACCAGCTAGGTAAACAGCAGCAGCTACTGCAGCAGCAGCAGCAGCAGTTACAGCAGCATCAGCAGCTACAGCAGTCCCATCAGGATCACCTGCACCAGCACCAACAGCAGCAGCTACATACAACAATGACTCCGCAGCAACAAGCTGATGCTTCTACACAGCAGCACCATCTTTTCCACACCACCCACTCTCTCCACCTGCAGAAGCAAAGCCACAAACAGCAGCAGCAGCAGTCAATGCCAGACAAATTGATGAAAGAGAGGCAACATGGGCTAGTCGATGCTACACCGGGAGCAAATTGGCAGTGGAACTGGCCGCCCGAGGCTCACACGCAGCAGCAACAAGAACTGCAACTACACCAAGAACAGCAACAGGAGCAGGAATTGCAGAAGCATGAATCGCAGAGGCACCAGCAGAATCAGGACTTGCAACAGGGTCTGCAGCATGAAGTGCAGCAGCAACAGCAGTTGCAACAGCAGCAGCGGCAACAACAACAGGAGCAGCATCAACAGCTGCAGCATCAATTGCCGGAGCATCATCAGCAACAACAGCTGCAGCATCAACCGGTGCAGCAACAACAGCTGCAACAACAACAGCTGCAGCCACAACAGCTGCAGCCACAACAGCTACAGCAACAGCACAATCGTAACCTCATGGAGGAGGTGCCACCTCAACCCCTCAGTCTGGCATGGCAACAGAAACAGGACTTGCAACAGCAGAAACAAGAGTTGAACCCGCACCAGGGGCCACAGCAGCAGCGGGAGCGGCAGAATCTCCAATTACCACAGCAGCAGGAGGTGCACCAGTTGCACCAGCAGCAGCAGCATATGCTGCAGCACCAAGATATGTTGCGGAAGCAGCACGAACTGCAGCAACCAAAGCCAGAGCCGCACAAACCACCGGCGTTGCAGCAGCACGTTCAGCAGCAGATGGAAGGAAGTATTCGAGCGCATTATACTGAAGGTCTCGAGTGTGAGGCCGTCACCCAGCAGTGCATGCCGGCACAAGCCAGACCCCATAACACGGGTTACGGTTTAAGTAAGCCGCCTAACGGATTTACAGCAGCACGCGCAGCAGCAGCAGCAACAGCGGCAGCGATAGCAGCAGCGACAGCAGCGATCAAAGGCGGCCCCCAAACAGTTGGGTTGTATGCAGGCCAACAAACGCATACCACAAACGGGCAGGGCACAGCAGTGGAGCAGCAGCAGCAGCGACCGCTTCTGCAGCAACAGCCCGAAGTGCCAACCCCCGGAAGCCCAGAAGAGATCCCACAGGAGACAGACACGAATGGTCTATCACAGCAGCAGCAGCAGCACCTGTTGTTGCAGCAAGAGCAACAGAATGTTCCACAACTGACGAGCGCCTTGCAACAGAGGGGTCAGCTGCTAATGCAGAAGCAACTGCAGGAGGAGGAGCAGCAACACACCAACACCAGCAGCAGCAGCAGCAGCAACGCTGTGAACCACTGGCCTCCTCCTCGGAGTGCAACCATAGGAACAGTTTATTGGAACTCTTCTTCTCGCGGGGCCACCCAACGGGCAGTTTCACTCCAGCCCAATCTAACACACACTCGTAACGGCCTGCCAACCCGTTTGCCTACTGCTGCTGCTGCTGCAGAGACCTACAGAGGGTTTCCATGCTTCGTGTCTCCTAGGGTGGTGCCTCTGGAAGGCGCACCGAGAACAGGAGCAGCAGCAAGGGTTGGTGTTGCGGCATCAACCGCCTCCCCGTTCCTGGCTGCTTCTGAAATGGAGAACCGCAGAGCGGCATTTCCTGCTGCTGCTGCTGCTGCATCTCCCACTGGAGCGGCAGCTACTGCTTCTCCCTGTGCACAAGTGCACCTCCAGCCCAGACTAGCCCCTGTTTGGATGCCTCATCAGCTGGCTCTGCATCAGCAGCAGCAGCAACAACAGCAGCTGCTGCTGCCGACAGTCCGTCTCACTACATTGCCTCCGCAACTCTCTGGGCCTTTACTGGTCTCACCTGGGGGGCCAGATGCTCATCCTCAGCTGCTCCTGCAGGTAATGGGGAACAGCTCAGGCTGGGGTGTACGTACACCTCAGCACCCGTCGCATTGTGTATAATGAGTTCTTATTTTCTGTGTACTGTCCTGCTAATGTTCAACACGCTGCTGGCTAGGAGCAATTAACAGGACAAAAAGGGCAACTGAAGTAAATATATACAACACATCAACAAATATAGCCGATAAAACATATGAAACAGACAAAAGAGACAACGAGAGAAGGAATATCTACATTACACTAACCACTTTGGACGCACCCTAGCATCGACGCCGCCCACTGGAAAGCTGTGTTGTGGTCTTACAAAAGGAAGATAAAAGTACTTTATCTTTGTTGAGCCCACATATGCGCTAGTCCATGCTACAATAACAAATATATAAAAACAAATATACGACAAAGAAACCAAAACAAGAATACGCAAAAGCAAATGAATACGAAACCAAATATAGAGAGCCGAACATATGCAAAAATAAATATATACAGAAGCAAATACAGGCACACGCAGATATATAGAAAACCAATATACAAACAAATAGAGCAACAAAGAGACATAAAAGCTGACAAATAGAAAAACGTACAAAGAAACGGCCATAGGCAGAATGAAAACAAGGAAACAAGCAAACAGACCGATACACACTACCAATAAATATGATCAAATCAACATACAAGGAAGTTAACAAGCAAGCAGGGCAAGAAGATAGAATCACCCATCAGCACCTTCTTGCTCTAATAAAAATGCAGCAAAGTGGGTGTGGTGGATCAAAGGTGCAACACAAACAAGAAGTAAGCACAAAACGCAGAGAAAACAAAACAAAAGGAAACTGTAAGTATAAACAGCAGAAACAACAAGACAAACTAAAAACAACAGAACTAAACTACGCAGAACAAAGACGCTTGACGCTTCTTTTAACCGGCACGCCATAAAGGAGAGAGTAAATGAAGCTAGTAATAGGTCTTTTGTGAATATGTGCGAGTTACCAAAAGGATAAATCAATAAATAAATTATAAATAAAAAGTTAAGGCATCTGAAAGGGCTACCGCGCAGAAGGAAGGCCAGTCCACAGCAAAGGGGGCCCCATCAGCGACTCGAAGTAGGCGGCGCACCCCCTTCCTTCTACATTTGTCTCGGGGCCCTCCCTGCAGCCTGTGGGGCCCTTGCTTTTCGCAACTCCCCTTCCTTCTCTGCCCCCTTCTGACAGCACTGCTACTTTCATAACAGTGACATTAGTAATGACAACAACAAGAATAAGTCACCTACCCTATCGTCAAATAGATTATGTTTGCTTCCCGAGAACAGCTCGGGAACCCATCAACCTGGGGTTGATCCCCACCGTTGAGGGCTTCGAGATGGCGGGGGCCCTAGAGGGGCCCCCCAGGAGGGTATAGAGGGGTCCCCAAAGGGTTCATTAAGGGGCCCTCGAAAAGAGAATATGGCGGCCCCTAAAGGTGCCCCTAAACTCTGTGGATTTGGAGAAAGGACGCCGAGCGCGTTGGGTTTAATAAGAGGAGCAACACTCATGAATTGGAGGGGAGGGATAGGTGAAGATTCATCCCAGTACACAGTGACCATTGCAAGAATGTAAATACATCTCAAAAGTGCGAGTGCATGTCTCAAGATACCCATCATAAACAAATAAAGATAGAAGAATGAGTAAAAAGAATAAAGGAACAAACAAATACCACATATACAATGTGAGGCGATGTTATAGGCACAACAGAAACACCCAAAAGTCACTTCTCGAAAGCCCCAAGGCAAGGGCATCGCACACTCAACAGCCCCGGAGAAGCTGGAAAGCCCAAAGCCCTAAACCCTAAACCCTTCAAGGGTTTGCAGGTGCGAAGGAGGTGGTGGCGATGTACGAAAGATTTAAGGCGGGATCAAAGAGAACAGGAGACTGAATGTAGGCGAAGGGCTCTGAAAATGAACAGAAATAACAAGCAGCAAGGGGCAAGAAACCAGTAAGAGCCACTAACAAGCAAAGCCTATAAACAAACAATGACAACAACTGTATACCTATAGAGTAAACAAATACAGACAAAGGCTGAACCTTGCATACGAGCCAACCTAAACCACCTTCTCAAACCCTCCAAATGCATCCACAAATACTCCCTCTTGATCCCCAAATCCTAAACCAATAACCCTAGAGCCTAAACACTAAGTTGTGTGCCCAAGAAGAGGCTGTCTCTACCGCACCTGCTCCAACAGCACCCCTCCCATCCGGTTAAGTTTGTGTTATACCTGGTTGTGGTTTGTCTGGCTGAGGGAAGCGAAGTTGCGCGGCGTTTGTTTGTGCTGAATTTTGCATGACTTGTTGGGGGGTTAAAAGAGTGGCTGATTGGGGTGTTTGTGCAGCTCCTCCTGGCAGGGGTACACCCGGTGGTCCTGCTGCTGCTGCTGTTGCTGCCAGCTGCTTGGGGGAACCAAAGACCCTCGCCTGCAGCTGCGCAATATACTTTGCTAAGTCATTGTTGCGCATTTCTAATTCAATAATTCGCCTGTCTTTTGACTCGCAACGCTCGCAGTAAATATCAAAACATTCGAAACAACCGGGCTGTCCGCACACCTGTAGATAGACAGATACACATGAACACAACAAACAAAATAACAGACGTGCACGCAAGCACACAATGAAGAACGAAAACGAATAACAAGATAAGGGAGCAGAAAAAACAAATGCGGCCACAAGGGAGGCAGATACCCGCGCGTGTGCTGCCGATGCTGCTGGTGTTGTTCGTGCTGCTACAGCGTCCCTGAAGCCTGTATCGTGAACACTTTCTTCTTCTCCTTGCTCTATAGTGACACCGACGACCCAGCCATGCTCTTGCGTGTACTATATATGTGTATTTATGCGCACCTATACAAATATACAGTTGTGTGTGTGCGTGTGTATGGCTGCTGCTAGTGCTGCAACAACGACATGGGAGCAGTAAACGGTCTCCTGCTCACTGTTTCATATCGTGGGATGAACTTAAAGCCAGGGGGAGGTATCATCAAGAGCGTTTCGTCATGCGCCCGGGGGCCAGATTCTCTTCTGCGCGCCATCGTGTCCTTCCCTCTACTCCACCGCCTTCTCCTTGCGCGCCTCCAGGACTTTGGCGGGCTTACAGCTGCACTTCTGCCTGTCGTTTAAGGATGTAAGAGGTGGTGGAGACTTCGAGGCCTTAGTATGAGGCTGGTGTGGACGTACACCTTCCACGGAGCGGTCCAATGGTTTCCAGAGTGATGAGCGGATGCACGGTAGCGGGGGTCTCAGCGCGTCTTTCTTGCTTCCTTGGAGTGCAATAAAAAGAGCTCGGTAATTGAAATTGTCTAATATTTGAACTAGAAGGAGAAGAATAAATGGAAAGCCAGCGCGAAGTCGACAGTCGCCGTATGGGAGACCGACGACAGAGCAAGCTGCAAAGGAGGGTTCTTAGGGTCCCTATCTCCTGTATGTGAATAAATTTACACTTAACTCCTTCCAAGAAGCTCTTTTACTCAATGTATATGGTTTTACTCTAGCCAAGTCGGAGAGAAGCTTCAGAAGAGCAATACATGTAGTTCATGGCCTCCATGAACACCTCATCGCAGCTGCTGCGACTCATACAGCAACACCGATGTTGTGTTTCTTTGCCTCTTGTCCCACTTCTCCTGATTTTTTTAATCTAATTTCATATAATCGACTATGATTTTACTTCCTGTTCCTTTTTTATTATTCAACATGTGGGGGGAGAAACTGCAAACGTATGCCGACGTAGCTGTTGTGTCTCGGCAGCCGGCGAGCGTCAGGCAATCGAGAGCGAAGAACCTCCCACTTTCTTCCATTAGAATAAGATTAAATGGTTTTAGATAGGAATTTTATTCATTTTATTTATAATTTATGTGATAAATGTGGTAGACAGTGCACTAGAAGCCCAGACGAGACCTCTACTACCCTCCGTCATTCGAAGAGATCGGTAGTAGCATTACGGGATACGAATAGGCGGGTAAATGAACCTGCTCTTTTCTACCCAGCCAACGAGCTGTGTATCTTAAGTGAATCAAGAGTTCGCTTAAAGTACCTAGATGCAGCTAGCTGGGGCCGCTAGAGCACACCGAGCTGTGGCTAGCTGCGACTCCCAATGCAGCGTTTCATGACCCTGCCTTACTGAGCTTACGACTGCTCTAAGTTGAGGAAGAGGTGTCTTAGTACACTACGCAGTACTTTATGGTTAGGAGCAGCAGGGACGAACCATGACACCCCAACACACACACCAGGACACCCAGGGACTGCGAACGCCTTCGACAGAAGAGAGATGCGACTTTAACCGTATTTCGGAAGTAAGGTAGAGATGTTATGACCCAGGTGTACAGCCTGTGAGTACTGGGCATGTAAATGCCTACCCATCATCAAAAAGGCAAAAGGGCGGGTCAAACACCAGCAGGCAAATGTGGAGTTTAGAACCCCGGGTGGAATTACTGATTGGATCTACCTCGTAATCCACATTATGCAACGCCACATTCTTGACGTGTGCAAGCTCATGAAAGCAGATGAAAAACTTGAAGCCAGCGAAACCAAAGAGGAGAGTGAAGGATCCTGGATACCAGAAACTTGCAATAACATAACATGTCCAAAAGGGATATCAGCACCAGCAGCTCCTACTTCAGTCATCTACGTGCTTGTCCTAGTTTGCGTCGATGGCCACAAGTTGTTACAGCACCAGCCTACTCCCAATTTACCGTTGGTGACGGTCTTTTGCATATCGGAGCAAGTCCGTGTTCTATAAGGGTACTCGTCAGCTGGCTTACCTACGCCTTTTGGGCCAGTGAGCACCTTCAAAGGTGCAACGATGTCTCAATCACAACTTCGTACCGCTAGTCAACGAGTTCAGAGTGTTAAAAAGCATGGACGACCTCCCTGAGTCTATCTGGGGTGTGGAGAAACGCAAGCAGCATTTGAGGAGGAAGGCGTTACTGTTAGGTGAGGAACGGAGGTCGGTAGAAGCACAAAAGTATCCGCCTTCCGTGAATGTAAATAAGTTCTTATGGGTTCAGTGTCTGCAACACCCTTAACCTTGTTGTTAGGAAACTCAGCCAATATGCCATCCCTCCCATGTACTAGTTTGGTGGCCCTATATATGGGGCAGTCCAACTATCCTCTGATAGCATCTGCTCGATACCTCTATAAAAGAGCACAATTTCAGGCAGGGGAATCTATTTTGCCAGCTTCGTTTGCCTCAAATGTATCGAATAGCTACTCATCATATATATCCGCCACCATAATAGAAGTAAGTCGAACCACTTAGAGCCAGAAGATCAAACTGGCGCAGTATCGAAGCCCCTTTACACAGCGAGCATGCAGCTTAGGCGTTTTGGTATGGTTGGATGCTAACGCCCTCTGAAGAGCGGAAAAGCGGGGGCCAGCAACGGCAGTTCGTTATGGGGTGAGGCAGACCTTCACCAGTTCGTTATACCATGCATATGGGGCTTTCGAAACGAAGTAGAGGAATATTGAAGCATATAAATGCACTTATGAGGAACTCTCCTCATGAAAATCAGGAATAACACCACAAGAAACAACAAATCAAGCAACACATACTTTAGATACACGTTTACTAAGCCACGGACGCCACAAGAAATGGCACTATGACGTTAAATGGCCAGTAGACTGACGAACAAAAGGAGTCTCTGGTGATCGCATAGGCGTTTTCAGCTTTCTTGATTGCTTTGTTTATGTGCTGGATTCTCCTTTACTCCTCTGTAGCAGGCTAAACAGCTTTATTTCTTGTCTATTTATCAACACCTATTTTAGTTGGAGGGGAAGAAGGTAACAAATAAATACGAAGTATACAAGCAGTTTCCATATTGCTTGCTGCAGCAGTGTCTGTGCCTGGAGAGAAGGTGGAGGCTCCTAGTTGTACAACCAGCTAGCTGAAATAGAGAAGGGATATAAATACAGAAAAGGCTGTGTAAGACAACACACAATACTGACAGTGTGTCTCATAAAGAATGGGGCTGCATGCAGCCCCATAGGAGCATCTGTATATTTTTCTTTGTTTACACACCGTGCTGTTTACAGCTTAAAAGAAGAAATAAGAAGAGAAATATTTGTATATTTCATAGTTTAGGGTTTAGGGTTTAGGGTTTGGACGACAAGGCTGCTGCGTGTGCAGGGTTTGCATGCAGCTTGAATTAAACCCTTCCTTCCTGTGCGGTGTATGTTGAACTTTTCTTTTTGTTAAGAAAAATATTCATAGAAACCCTTGTCTTCACTACAGCATTATTTGATTTCTTATTTTTTCCCCAGCAGTGCCGCCAGAAGACCTAGGGTTTAGAGTTTAGGGTTTAGGGTTTGGAGCTCCTGCTCACCGTCCCGCGGACGTGTTGAAACCCCCGACTTAACCCCTTGTTGCCGCTGGGGCTCTCTAGGGTTTAGGGTTTAGGGTTTGGGGTTTAGGGTTTGTAGTTTAGGGTTTCTTCTTTGTTTCCTTAACCGCATCTAACCCACCCCCTACTCTCTCCTTTTTCATCTTCTTGTCTCCTCTTATTTTCTTTCTTTCTTCTCCTTTTTTCTCTTTCCCCCTCTCCTTTCTTACTACATTTTAATATATTTATATGTAACTTTCTTTCTTTTTTATATCACCTATCCTTATTCACGTTAAAAAGCGGCAATTCCCTAATGGAAAGGGAAGAGGGGCCCCCCGGGGGCCCCCAGGCCCCCTTTAACTTCTCTGCGGGGCCCCCTGGGGGCCCCGGGGCCCCCTTTAACTTCTCTGCGGGGCCCCCTGGGGGCCCCGGGGCCCCCCCTGATACCTCTGACGAGCCCCCCTTGGAGTTAGACTTAGGACGGAGGGTAAAAGGGGTTCGGCTGTCTGTTGAGGGACTAAGGAGAGTTAGGCCAGAGACAATTGCTGATGATGTAGCTCCTATTAAAAGTGAGCTGCTGCTGTTGCTGTTGCTGCTGCTGTTGCTGCTTCTGCTGCTGCTGCTGTTTCTGCTGCTGCTGTAACTATTGTTATGGTGTATGCTACGTTTTTTGTGTGTTTATATGTAAGAGGGATGCGTTCACTGCTGTTGCTGCAGTACCTGTGGCATCATTGCTGCTTCTGCTGTTGCTGCTGCTGTTGCTGTTGCTGCTGCTGCTGCAGATGCGCGTACAGTTGGGGAGTTGCTGCTAGCATTAGATGCAGCACAGAGACGTTTATCCTCATTAAATATATTTGCTAAGACAGTAAGCAGAGTAAGATGTGGTAAGGAGGAAGGGGATGTATCTGTTGTGCTGCTGCTGAGGGAGCAGCAGCGGCGCTGCAGCATAGGATCCTCCCTTAGCAGCACAGGGGATTTGCTGCTAGAGGCAGCAGCAAATGTACCTGCTGTAGGGGGCAGCAGCAGCAGCATGAATATTCGTGGTGCCTTCTCCTTATCATCAACTAGTCCTAGTCAGCATTTTGCTGCTGATTTGCTGTTTCCTCGTATACCTTTGCTGCAGCGGCAGCAGCAGCAGCAGCAGCAGCAGCAGCAGCTACCATTGTTACGAAGGTGGCAGCTGCTGCCATCTGCTGCTGCTGCACTTCGCGTCTTTGCATGCAACAGAGACATGACGAATATAAATTCATCTCTTGTGCATCTAAGAGGAATAGCAGCAGATATCCGCAGCAGCAGCATAGATAACAGCAGCAGCAGCAGCAGCAGCAGGCATATGCTGTCTCTTAGCTTTATATCTAGGTCCTCTCCTCCTCTCCTGTCTCCTTTGTCTCGTGTCCCTTCTCCTTCTATTGATGCCCTTCCTTGGTCATCCTTTAAGCATTCAATTAAATATATTTATAATAATAATCAGCTAGATGTCCCTGCTGCTGCTGCTGATGGTGATGATGGTGCTGCTGCTGCTGCACTGCAGCAGCAGCACCAGCAGCAGCAGCAGATACCCGTGCTGCTGCCTAGACGAGGATATGCTGTTACTGCAGCAGCAGAACTAACTCTCCCTGGTGGTGATGTTCGTTTCCTTAAGGGGGAGTTGCATGCGCTAGCAGCAACTCCTCTCTCCCTCCCTAGCAGCAGCAGCAGCAGCAGCAGCAGCAAGAAGG